TCCCCCCCCCCCCCCCCCCCCCTCCCCTGAGTTGCCACTCCTGGGATGCTTTCGGAGGAAAGGGACCAACCAAACGAAAGATATTGACTTGTAGATGACGAAAAGTACCCTTTTTGTTGTTTGCGATGCACCATTTCGCCATTTAAAAAAATGAAATTAGCTGTCGTTCAATTAGGCTTAGAGCGCTAGCTCCGATCCCGTCCTCCAGCGTTGCCGGATATCATGTCGGAGTTATGTCAGATTCTTGACTTCTTCGGCCTGAGTATCGTTGTCTGGATCTTTTCTTTTTTAATATAGGAGACATTATTGTGCTGAATTCATGGGATAAGCTGAGATTGAAGCGGTGGTTTGCAGTGGCCGATGGATTTGGTGGAATACGGAGATACTCATCCGGACATCCCTAAATTAACAGGATGGTGGTCAGCTCGTATATCATGCTTTCTAAAGGCACTTTCTTCTCAGAACGAATCGAGACGATTCGAGGAACTCTGGATAGGCATAATGTTCCCGACCGCATTGAAATGGCTCATGACACTCGAAAAAAGACCTACATTCGGTCCAACGTTACACGTCCTGTTAAATGGGCCATGACAGACTGAAATGGCCTGCGATTGGCCTAACGTTACACGTCCTCAACGAGGTGTCTCGAAGAGGTGGGATTAATCCTTATAGGCCTAATTGGTCCGTAGGTCGAGGAATGAGTTTCTCTTGAACGAAAAAAGATAGGCCTAGGCCTGACCCGAAGATAGTCCGTCAGTTAGGTCTAGGCCTAACGTTATTGAGTTCCGTAGAGAAGGTTGAGGTTGAGGTTGGGGTTGGGGTTGAAGAAAGGGAAAACCTTTGAAAATTGGTTTTCACATCATTACATTCCACATGTTTCTGTGCACGGAGCAATCGCGTCGGATAGTGCTTGAGAGGGTTGGCTCCTTTTCGGAATTTCGTAAAGGTTCCTGTCATTTCCGTCGCCAGGTATGCAGGTATTGCGTGCCAAGATCGTCTCTTTTTCTTCATTCCCGTCTCGACGTCTGCCTGTGCATGAGGATTCATAGCGTATGCAAATTCTTCTCACTCATGAGTATTTTAGACGAGGGAGCGGACCGGACCGTAATGGTCCACTTCCGTCCACGACAACGACGCGGTGAGAATTGAATTAATCAAGAGGTTCTTCGTCTTTAGGTTGTATGTTCGTGGAATGGGAAGCGACCCTGGACTGGAAACCCGTATACTCGAGCCCCCCTATTGAGCGTCGCCCTCATTCTCATCACAGACGCGCTAGGGGAAAGAAAACACGTAATGTGAATCGTATGGCATCCCTCTCGATCGCTCCGCATTCTTTTTCCCCTCACTGAGGCTTCCGTCGTCCCGGGTTCCATCTCACTTCTCCGCCACTTCGACTCGACACTTCATCGGCTGAACGTTTCTTTGACAGGATTTCGTTAGTTAAGTTAGTTAGTTAGTTAGTGAAGTTAGATTTGCTATGCGGACAATTCATCATGTGGTAATGCGTCGTTATTAATTTTTGTTGGTTGATTAAAAAGATTTGTAAATCAAATGGTTACAAAGTTCATGAAAGCAGAGTACGAGTTATGGTTATGCATTAAAATAATTCAGTAAGGAATTGAATTCATGAATTTTCCTCATTACAAATCTAACTTCGCTGAACCCCATCTGAAGAAACCCTGTCGAAGAAATGTTCAGCCGAAGTAATGCCCGTCGAAGTGTCTTTCGAAGTAGTGAGACGGAACCGTCATCCTGTACCTGTCATATACCACAGGCTGCCACGTATCGGTCTGTAAGGGTCTAGGGCTAAAAAAATGCAGGACACGCCTAAGCGGCTGCAATTAAAGAAGGATGGAAGGAGGAGGGAGGTAATGAAACATTTCCGTGCCTCATATAATCCCTTTTCGGCCCCCGGTTTCACATGTCATGCGTGACTCCTATCATGCAACTAAGCTCAAAATCTTCTTTGCTTCTTTCTCTGCGGAAACGAGACCGGCTGCTTGGAAGCGTGGTTGGAGAAAGTCCTCCTCGCGTCTCTGGTCCATATTCCGATTGTTCAATGGAAGGCATTCTGAAAATGACAGCCACGGCTTTTATGTATCATGCCGAGGTCTCGTGGATTTGACAGACTCGAGCGATCTAGTAAGGAAATAACAACGCGGTGAAGGACGTTGACGGATGAGAAGCTCTCGCATTTCTTCTGTCGAAATTTCTCTTTAATCGCGACGATGGGACGGCGGAGAGAAAGCCAAGAGTCGCATCTCGAAATGGCTTCATCTGCAGCTGTAACCCATGTCACATGGGTCGAAACTCTCCCACTTTATCACCAAGGAGGTGAAAGAAAAGACAAGAAAAGGATGAAGGGAGGGAAGAGATGGAGAATGATCTTCCGCGAACAAAAGCGAGGAAAGTCATTCTGGCCAGGAAATAGCGACGTGGTGCCCCAACGGGATGCGACCGACTCGGACCAACTCTCTCCACCATTAATAAGAGACGCGTTCCATCCCGGTCCTCACTTTTTTACTTTTGAAGATGCAGGACACTGTATGACTATAGAATATATTCATTTGCAGAAAGTTTCTATCGTTCAACGTACAAAGTAAATTCTCCGTGGTGAACTGGGGAGAAAATATAAGAAAAACGTGATTCCGTCATAGGGAGCTCTTGCATTTCTACTAAAATGAGTCCCCATGAATTATAGCACTGAACAAACATTTTCAGCTAAATTTAAACTGCTCCCTAGAGTCCCTGTGGTCAAGTACGGGGTGATCATATTGATGAGTCCACAGACCAAATTACTAGTCCGATTGTAAAACAGTCGAAGCTGCCGGAAAGCCCATTCACTTCTACATTCCTGTTTTTTCAGATCTGAATATTTAAGTCATGATGAGATTCGACAATAATATCTCCAGTTGGGTGGATCGCATCCAAGCAGATACATTCCGTGAAGCAAGAGATGCTTGCGCGGCGTTTATTTCAGGCTCACGATTGCGAACAGGTTCAAGAGTATTGACAGTTTTGTGGAGAATAACAAGAACAGGGATTCATATGAATGCAAAAGTTTCCTTATCTTGAGCTTCTTAGCAATCCATGAGCATGAAGTAAACGCCGCTCACGCATCTCTTGCTTCATGGAATGCAACTTCATGGAATGTAACTGCTTTAAGGCGATCCATCCATCTCGAGGTGTTATTGTTGAACCTCTTCACGATACAAAGTCTCAGATCTGAAAAGACCCATTAGAATGCGGAATTGAATGGGCTTCCCAGTAGTACCGTCTGTTTTGCAATCGGACCAATAGTTCGGACTGTGGAGGGATGGGGGGGGGGGTCCATCATTATAGATCACCCCCTACAACCATGTCCAGCAAAGGACTTCGCAAAATGCATTTCAAATTTTATAAGTAATCTCTAGTGTTGAGACCTCTACTTTGATATACAAGGCATTCCTCTGTTACTTCCTGTTTCATTTACAAATCTTTTTCGAAGGGCTATGCGATCGTTAAAGTCGGGATGCGAGTTTTTGCCTTCAGCTACGTTGCATTCGTCGGTTGGCAAAACTTCCTTTCGTCATCTGAGCTGAATGGTGGCATATTTTGCGATTCGAGAAGTTGAGCTTTACAAGTCGAATCGTGAAGTAGGTTTCAAAGATCGAGCAAGCCGTATATAAGCCGAAATTGGACACCTTAATTGATCGCATATCAAGGTCGGCTATTCAAATTCGGACCACCTTGACCATACAAGAAGAAAGTCCCTAACCAGAGAGAAACACGACCCGTGTTCCCACTTCGCCACTGATTCCTCCACTTGTATGTCGAGAGACTGGGAAGCCATCACAATCCAACAATCGAAGCGCCGCAACTGAGATTCCAAGCATGCGGCCATGGATGAGCCGAAAGCGAAGGTCCTCACCTTCCATGGATCCCATCGTCGATCCTTCACTCCGTCGAGTGCGGAAACTTCGATGTTGAGGTTCCCCAGAATCGCCCTTCCGTCCGCCTATCGATTCTTCGCGTGGAAAGGAACCCAGCACACTGCCACACTCTATCTATCCACATTCGTGATCGGAATGTCAAGACCGTCACGGTACGAAGCTCCTAATTCTGCTCCTGTCATTAATGATTTCATTTAAGATATGCACTATGGGCAGAATAAAACCTTTCCATCCAACTAATTATCGTTAGCGATCGTCGATCCCTCACAACTTCGATTGGACCACGCCTGACATGGAACACTACGAAGAACGTTTTCATTCTTACCCCTTCGTTTGCTCGCCTTCCCGAACGAAACTGGAGAACGCTTAGCTCGATGCTCAACTTTGGAAGCTCGCATGATGACGTGATGCAGCAGCAGACATCTCTCTTTCTTCTCCCCAAATCCAGTTTTTCCGTATCGCCGTCAGAGGTCCCTGGTGTTGTGCAAAAACAGTGGTCCCCAAACTTTTTGAGGCGAGGTCCTCACGGACACCTTACTCCACCTTGAGTGGGTCGCACTAATAACGTTAGTCGACCTGGATGGGCCGCACTGAAAAAGATCTAGCAAATCTGCATGGTTAACCCTTTATCTGGTCATTGACCTCTTGGTCAAGCTACTTCAAACCAAGAAGTCCCATTTAAAAAATGGGCAGCAATAAAACAAACTGCTTATTCCTGCTCCATCCACACACACTTTCAAATCTCGTAGTCATGGAAACTGCCACTACTTGGAGTCAGGGCTCATGTAAACGCATCGCTTCTAGGTGCTGCTCTGTTACAAGTTGTATCTTCGATAAATACTCCTTCCCCCCCCCCCCCAAACTTTACCATTTACTTGCGAGGTTAGACACTTTTCTCTGCAGTATATGGATGCTCCGAATTTTAGGCCAGTTCAGCAGGTACATACCTAAATGCATTATAAGTATCTGAATATCTAAACAATGCCTAAACTTGCTAGTTCGCAGCGAAGGATTCCAAATCTGAAATTTAAAAGTGTTCATCGCGATTATTCATGAGTGCCGACAAAACGACTAATGCGAAAAAGTCCATTATTGCCGGTAGTTAATATTAGTGGGTCACATAACACCATTAACCGGACCGCATGCGGCCCGCTGGCCGCACTTGGAATGCCGCTGCGCTAGAACAACCTTTCTCATGTCCGCGAAACTTTGCCCAGACCGAAAATAACGGACGAAAGGAAAAATGCAAATGAAAAAAGACGTGTGCCCTTCAGCACACTATATTGTAAAGTCTTCAGCTACTTGTACTAAACTGAGAAGCTTACTCAATAGTGAAGGGTGTCCGGGCAGTTCACCTCTATTCCGGAAGGGGTCCGCAGGTCAAATGAGGCTGACTGCATCACAAGGATCATCCTGACCCCCTAAAAGTAATCTTATTTGGGAACGTTGACGATGATCGAGATAATGGATTTTTTCATCATATTGTGAGTCATAGAATGTGACAGGTGTTGGTCGACAGAGGCCATATTTCATCTCTATCTAATGGTCCATGTTCATTTCAGATTCGACCACGAAACAAAGCAAGTGTGATAGCCTGAAGGATCGCAGTTGCAATGACTATCGAACACAGTTTTTAGCAATAAGGAAGTTTACAATGCATAATTTCGTGCACCTCATTTCCGAACTGTTGGTATCCTGTGGAATCTTGAGATCCTGTGGGAAGATGCAAGAGAGAAATCGTTGTCGATGCAATTGCGTGGGACTCAACCAATGCGAAATGGTGGTATCCTGCATTTCCCTTGCAGAACATTTTCAGCAGAAAAAGTTCCCTGTCCTTGCACCTGTGGTACCTTTAGACTCCTTTTGGTTGCGAAAACTTACCCTCGTAATTGCCTTGGCGCTGCTTATAACGCTGTGAACAAATTTATGCTATACTTTTTCATCCTTCAAAACTTAAAACAACCTTCATGCACTTTGTTGTGAGGTCTTACGACATTATAGAAAACAATGCAAGAACGTGCTTCTTTCATGCTAAATGCTAAATGCTGGTGGTGCCCCATATGTATTCTTTCGGTAAGAAGCACTAATAGAGAGAATTTCCGATCACTTCATTTTTCTGATTCCCACTCCGGGTAATCCCCATTAAAGGGATGAAGGCCACTAACGAGTTCATGCTGGGAGCACGGCGACGCATATGTTGAGAAGCCGTCCAAGGTCTTTGATCTCCACTGCGAAGAAGGAAACAAAAGAGGATTCGGCCATGAAGCGACTGCCGCTTATGGCAGTTCATGAGGCGAACGAGTGCGAACTCAACGCACCATTCCTTTGTCTATTCATTCGTTTCTCGAGGAACCGTTTGCTTCCTTCCTGTCGTCCTTCGCGAGAAGAAAAATGAAACTCGACGAAAGGTGAATTCGGTTTTATTTCCATGCAATCGTGCCTCGTGGTCTCGATCGGATCGAGTCACGTTTCACTCAACTGTATGAAGAATGAAGATGGATGATGAAAGCGCGATCAATTCCTGAGTCTCCACCTCCATCCTCCTCGATATCTGTTGCCGTAGAGATTCCCACCGTAGCCACTGCCGTAGCCACCACCGTAGCCGCCACCGTAACCGCTACCGTAACCGCCACCGTATGGATATCCACCTCCGTATCCACCACCGTATGGATATCCAGAGTTTTGATATCCGGGTGAGAAACCGTAGCCGTATCCACCGTATGCGTATCCGGGGTGCTGATATCCTCCGTAGTTTCCGATTCCGCCGTAACCACCGTATCCACCGGGATACCCACCCCCACCGTATCCACCGGGGTACCCACCCGCACCGTAAGACCCGTAGGGATTGTAACCGTGGCCGTATCCGTATCCACCGGCCTGTTGATTATAATAATTGTAGTTGTTATGCCATCCGAAGCCCCGCCGATCCGTGGTCCCGTCCAGAAAGTCTTCTTGGGCCATCCTTTCTGTACTCTCGACCACGATTCCGATGAAGGCCAGAGAGAAGAGTGAATATCCCCAAATCCTCATTTTCTCTACCTTGATATGGAAAAACGGGAACTTTAATAAACATTCATCGAGCGAGAGGACATATTTGCATGTGGTCGCAATCCATGTAGACCGTCCGTCCCCCCAAGAGTGGTTCTTTCTTTCGCGACTCGAGAGATCTTCGGTAACGCACTAGATTGGATCAATATTGACCCAACATTTGGCCAAAGTTGGCAATGTTGGTCCAACGTTGGGCCAATCATGGCTCAAAACAATGTGCATTTTTGGAGATCCCTCACTGGAACGCTTTCTGATGGAAAATTCAGCCATCACCAAATTCGAAAGGCCGAAGCTTTCATCGTGCCCGGGCACACATTCGCTTTATGAAAAAATCTACTCGCCAAGGCTCTTCGTTTGCAAGCGTTCCGCTGATCATACGAAGCCATTTTCGCGGGAGTGTGAAGATGTATCGGCGCCAGATGATCCCGAGTGAAAACTCATTAAAAAACTGGATTATGGGATCTTGGAAACGGCTGCAGGGCTTACAGCCCGTGCACTTCTCCGTCCACGTTTCTTTACCTTTTTCTTTTCTCTCTGGCGGGATTTCCCAGAGAAAAATGAGAAAAACGCAGGCGTGTAACTCAAGGTCCATCCCGGAAATGTGAAAACATCATGGGGCATTAGGATTTCACTATGGCACGATTCTGCTTGCCTTGCAATGATTACCTACCATCGTCTTGACTTTTATGAGAAGGAAAATGGCGAATATTCCCTTGATATTAAGAGCGAAGGGCTGACATGATACTGACCAATATGGTTCTATATGCCGCTCATTCATCTGTGCTACCCTCATGATTGCAACGGTTCCAGAATTTTTCTCGGCTCGGCGGAAAAGACATTTGCTGAGTGCCGAAAGGACAGGCACTTCGCTGCCTCTTCACACAAGTAGAAAAGAGAAACGACAGGAAATAAGTCGAGTTCGAGGCCTACTTCAGGCTCGGTAAAAAATGAAAATGGAAATTCTCAGCCTCGCCTCTGTTTTCATACTTGTTTAGCGAGACGTGGAACGCACGCTCCAATTTGGGAAATGGCGGACGCGCATCAGCCCTGAGTGAAAGGTCCAGCGTTATTTCCTAACAAGATTGTTGGTTCCACGAACCTAATCGACCCATTAATCCAAGTTTTGATCGTGATTTAAAAAGTAATAGACACAAATAGAGTTTCGATCGGCTCTAAAATCTCCAACTGAATGCCTCTTTCTTTCTTCCAGTTTCGATAAATGGTTAAAATCTTGCCAGAAATATGTTTTGCGATTGAAATCCGGTGGAATGATGGTTTGTGGCAGACGTGTTTGCCTTGCTTATTCTTCGCCAAAATAAATATTTGAGCTTTTAAGAGAAACATGCAAGAAAATGCATCAATGCTGTCGGAGTAAGGAAAAAGAAGCGCAGACCTTGTTTAGTTTGGAGATGGGAATGGAGGCCTTTTTACCATATTGAGTTGATTCCGAGCAGTTACAACTGCTCCGCACAGCCGCAATACCTGCGTGGAATCGGGCAGACCCGAATGGACGGATCGTTGGCTTTGCAATATATAATGGATTTTACATGCTTTGGGTTTTCTAGCGGCCAGTCAGAAACTACGCTGAGTAGAAAAAAAAGGAGCAAATGATTCTTTTCTTGAGCTGTCCATCTTTTATCTCGTCCCGCTCCAATTCCATCCATTCCAATCTTCGTAATGGCATGGAAAACGGCAACATGACTGATTCCAGCGAATAAAGCGCTCCAAATCGATCCACACTGGTGTGCGCGCGCACACCAGTGTGGATCGATTTGGGACCCAAAAGACGGGACTGTTTTTGCAAGATATCAAAGAAAAAAAAACATGAAGTATCTATTATCCACAAACAGGATAGAAGAGAGCGAGCTCGCGTGCTACCGAATACAACACCGTCGCCTTCATCACAATGACGCATTTCATGTGAAAAAAAAATTCTGGAAAAACAGATTGCTGTGATTACATCGGTAGTTTTGCCACATGAACATGCCAAATTTCTGCATTCAAAGTAAGTGTTTGCGATGTTTCACACCCATGATAAAAAAATTTGCATTCCGAAGGCATTCGTTGCTATTTTCTGGATGCAACGGAACCGACTGGTTGGATTAGTGGCTCTGATACTGAAAGCAGTTTCAGAACCATCATGCGTGATCATTGTGAGTCATTGTCAAAAAACGAAAGGGAAAACGAGTGAAAGGAAAGAAAGGAAGGAAGGAAGAAAGAAAGAATAGGAACGAGAGACGACGGAAAGGCAGCATTCACTTCTCCATCCTCCACCCAACTGCGCGTTGCGCCTTTCTTCCTTTTACCCTAGGCGCTGAGCGGATATCCCAGGAAGCTAGACGGCATGTACAGGGTGTCCATAAAGTAACTTGACATAACGATTTTTTTCTCGTCGCCAACTGAAATTTTACGCTTCCATAGTCTTAAAGAGGACTAAATTCTTCATTCCGGAACACTAATAATATTCATTTTTTCCATCCCAGATACCTGAAAAACTAATATTTTGACAACTGCTGAAAATGCTCTAATTTTCAGCATTTTCTCGCAAAGAGCATTTCCTCGTTCTCCGGAAGGTCGACCTTCTTTCGGTTGGTCTTGAACTGACCCTGTCTTCTGAAACTTCCTAACAATATCATGAATGGGTGGGTGAGAAGGCCCTTGGGACGTCTTGTAATGGCGTTTGAACTTCTTTTGTTTTTCTGTCCATAGGCGGCGATTTGTTGAGAAATTTGGGGGGCTCAGAGAAAAAATTTAGGGGGCTCAGAGACAGTACTCCAAGTATTCCTTATTCTTCTGCCAATTTTTTGGGGGGTTCGAGCCCCCTGAACCCCTATGAATCGATGCCTATGTTTCTGCCACAGATTTTGACTCAAAATACCACTCGATGATCTTCATTATTTGCAAGAAACTTAGCATTTTCGGCAGTTGTAAAAAAAAATTAGTTTTCAGGTACCTGGGATGGAGAAAAATGTATATTATTAGTGTTCCAGAATAAAGAATTTAGTCCTCTTTAAGACTATGGCAAAGTAAAATTTCAGTTGGAGACGAGAAAAAAAATCGTTATGTCAAGTTACTTTATGGACACCCTATAGTTTCTTTCCCCCAGCCCTTGTCTCCAACAATGTCCGATTCTTCTATTCCGTTCTACCCTTCACCTTGCGAGTTGTGGGGCTCTCCACAAAATTATCTCGAAATGGTTGATTGTCTTTCAATCGGCACATTCAGGGAGAAAAGGAGCAGCTCGATTAAAAATCAGTTAATTAATCGATCAAATACCGCATGATTTGTCGCTGAAAACGGTATAATCATTCATTTAAATCCAATCCTACGTTGTAATATGCTTTTCTATGTTTTTCCTGTACTCCATGAATTTTATGCCAGAAGTACACAGTATGAGCCATTTTTCATTATAGACGATATGTATACTACAGGTATTCAGATACACTTCGAAAAATGTATGTGCAGTTTCTTCTCTAAAGATATACTGTACATATTTTAAAGTGCTTTATATATAGAATTTATTCATACATTTCCCTCTCGAGCATGAATTTTTAAAGCAAAACAAAAATAAGCCTTTTCGGTTTTAGGTTTGAGAAGGTACTCTGCCGCTAGCCATGCCACCATCATTGCCAAAAATGTACATCTTTGAGTGACGCAAGAGATCATGTAAACTTGCAATCATTCATCATCGTGTTCATCTAAAAGACGGGTTGCTTTTGAGAATTCTTTTTCCAGACAAATTCGAGAATGAATAGACTATTTTATCGCTTGACAAAGCTGCATCGCAGGTAAGCTGGCTTATAAAGGGCTCAACTATCACGTCACTGTCGAGCAGAAAAAATGTGAGAAGCTGCGAAGGTTTATATAACTTAATAGAATGACCTCGTTTGCTATAAATGAAATCTTAATTAAATATTTCATTTTCCATGTTGTTTTAGAAATTCTCACAATAATGTGAAAGCCTGACTCTTGTTTAAGATAAATCGTTAAATTAAAAATATTATCATCTACTGTACGAACCGAATCCATCTCGAACTAAGGGGATGAGAATGTAATCTATCTATAACTCGAGAACCTCCCTGCTCATTCTGATTGGTACCCCTCTCGTATTTATCCTCGTTGAAGTGCGCCAAACATGATAAAAGACTTCTGACACGACCCGACCTATATATCCAATGAAGGCAGATTTCAGAGAAATTCATGCGTGATGGCATCGAGCGGGGATTAGGAACGTACCAAGTAGAGCAGAAGACACTCGTATACGAAACGTGGGAGTGGAGGAGAGGAAGTGAAACTAGACTGTACATGGAACCAGAAACGGATGTCATCCTTCAGGAAAGCATCTCCTTAAATATTGCCTTTCACCTCCCTGCCTTCTGCGTCTTTGTCTTTTCCTTCACTTTTCGTAACATCCCATCCTCCTTGTTTGTTCCATCACATTTACCTATGCGGTACTGTATGCGCTACACCAGGACTGCACCGTTTCATGCGGTTATGCGCTGATTTATCTTTGGAGTTAAATTTGATCAAACCACAAGTTCTTGACAATGATATCTCATGCAAATATGAAAGGGAAAGTCTGTCCTGGTGCTTTTGAGTTGGCCAACTCGTAGTGTCAATGAGAGTTCGAAAGGTCTACTATGATCCTATTTGCTCCTTAATTCTGGATCTTCTGACTCGATTACGATTCTAGTGACACAATTTGCACAACGAAAATTTCCATGTGAAGCTAGGTCCATTTCAATTTGAGCCATCCATTTTTAAAGTGATCAGTGCTCGCGCACTGTTGAGGTTGACGCCCTGACAGATGATTTTGATCAGCAGGACTCCTATTTACTCGGGAAGAGATTCTCCACTCTAACATCTAAGTTCTCATTGCTGCAGCATTTTTCTTTCTAGGTCATCTGGAATATCAACTTCGAATACTGCCGACGGGCTTTTGTCGAGGTAGCTTTATACAAACTTTTCTAAAATATATATATATATTTCTGAAATCAGCAGCTCTCCTTTCCTGCTCACAATGGATTTACGTCTCATCCATTTTGGTTACGAGAGCAGGAAATAATGGCAAAGATGGAGGAGACAATGTGGTGACCTTGTTTGGACTTCCCCACGTGAAACAGGGAAAGTTGAAGCCAGGAAGAAGTAAAAGCTTGATTCCTCCCAGGCTCGTGCGTGCATCCTTGTTTGCTTTCCACCGAAGACTTCTAAGATCAACAAGAAAATCAATGTCGTAACTTCCCTTTCTTCTCTTCTTCCTCGCATGATGGATAGACTCGGCGTAAGATGTCTATTTCATTAACAATGAAGGGTACATTCAGTAGAGTAGGTGGAATGTCCATGATGTATTTGTACGTCGACGAAAATGTGAGTACTTTGTTGGAGCAACAGTCAATAGCATTTATTTGCAAGAACTCGTTGAATGATAAGCCCATGAGAGATGGATGTTATTGCGGAGAGTTTTCAAGGCTTCCTCGGAGTCACTCGTGTTTGTTGTCCAGAAGGAATCGTTGAATAACCGGAGCATGAGAACGGACCCAGTGGATGTTGTTGCGGACGGACTCCATGGCTGTCTCCCTCGCCCTTGCCCCTGCTCCTGCCTCTGGGTTGTCCGCAAAGAACCTTTCCATCTGCACCAAAACAACAAAAATCCTTGTTCTTGGTACAGCATCCGAGACCGCGTAAAGGCGTGAGAACCCTGTCAAATACCGATTTGAGCTGGAATGGCGTGATGAAGTCTTGCGTGATGACAGGTACGGTACGACCCAGTATTCGTTCGTTCAGTGTAAACCTCCCCACCAAGTAATTCCATTCAGACCTGATCATGATTCATGCTCATCAAGAGAAAAAGAAAATATTTTCTCCGAAGATGAAAAACGTTTCTTACCGGAAGAAATCCCAAACGATCCCTGTGGCCACAGGGTTTAGACAAAGAGATTGAAGAGTCGGCAAGAAGTCGTGATCCCTAACCAGACTCGTATTCTTCAGATAATGCAGGTACCTACAAACATCGTAATGATATGAAAATCTCATACAGGTAACTGTGACAGAAAGTTGAGAAACCGTAAATACACAATGACCGATTGGAAACATGTTTCTGACCTGTGAAGTAGCCATGGTTCTCTTGTGAAGCCTAGTCCATAGAGGAGTCGCCTCTGCTTTTGAGAATTCTCCTCCTGTAAATACCTTGTCCATAAGGCATCCCAGGTCTTTTGATCTCCAGCTTCCATCATCCCGTATCGAAAGATGGCCTTTTCGATGTCAGGGTGAATAGACTCCTCCGGGTTCGTAATCCAGGCCTTCAATCTCTTCGATGCTTCTTCGAGACAGCCCTGCGTGCGTCACAAAACATTTACGTCATTCACGCTTGTTATTTCCTGGTAAGGAACAAAAAAATCCATATTCATTGAAGGCAGAGGTGGGTGGGGGATGAATTATTCATTGCTACGCGGTACTCATGAAATTCAAGGTCACTGTGACCTCGAGAAAACCCTCGTTCATTCGCTCAAACGTTTGGGTTGCACTCTTTTGGCACGTTGAAGCTTTTCCGCATCTATAGATGGGAAAGAGATTCTGTGTTGAATACCTTATGACCATTTCGACAAGCGAGATGAATGCCATGACTTCTAAGAAGCCTTTTGATGAGTCCTTCCTCCTCTCTCACGTCCCAACCCAATTCATTCAGGATGGGCTCCGCCAATCGAGATAGGTAACTCTGCAACACAAACCGATAATTTAATCGTCCTCCTAGTTAGTCACGTGAGAAGATACTCTGGGTGATTGGAAGACCGCATGCCGTGTACCCTGAGGTCTCCGAAGAAGGGCAAGGTGTAGGTCTTGGAGGAGATGTCGGCGAAGTTGACGTAAGCAGCCCTCCACGGCACGTAGTGTGATTCGTATTTGAGGTATTTGGTCATGTGGAGGGGGATTTCATAGCTCAGTTTTCCAGCCTCGGCCAGGGCAAATGCATCGTCCACCAAATTGGACCTATCTCCGGCACTCAACGCCTTCTCCAAAAACGGTGCCGTGAACGAGGTTTGGCTTTCATCAGTCCTTGAATCTAAAATTTTCTAGAACACTTACAGTGTGGTTGTCGACTAGAAGCTCTGCAAAACGTCTCCACATGTCTTCAGGATAGTTCACGCGGTAATAACCTTTCTGATTCACGTTGAGCTTGATCCATTCACACCCCTCCGGTTTCTCGATTTTCACTAGAAGTGCATTCCAGGGGTGATTAAGATGCTGAGCAAGTAGGGTAACTGTCACCCTTCCCTTCTCACTCCATTAGGCGGAGGGCTTCTCGTGGAATGATTTTTTCCCCCTCCGCCAAATTAAATACGGAAAAAATTTTGCCTTACTGGCTAGAATGTCAATAACCTTGACATTCTAAGACGTAAAGGTCGACGCTTAAAAGTTTCCTTTGTTTTTTTTTTGTGAGAGGGTCGAAGTGACAGCCTCCAATGAGACCTCTTCCAAGTCGCTCGATTTTACTTTAGCCGTATCGTTGAGGTCATTCAAATCCTCTTGATTCTGTTGAATGTTACAGCACTCAACTCTCCTTCAGAAAAACTCAAAAGACCTTATTGACGAAGAGGAACTAGGAAGAGGAACAGAACATGCTCGAGCCAAATGACAGAGCAATGTGCGGACAGAGACCACAAGAGTAGCATTAAGCTACAGTATGAGTGGTTAATGAATTCAATTCCTTGAGAATGCGCTACTGACTGACATTGCAGAAAACGTGACGATTCGTTGTGGGCTTAGCGGCGGACCTCACCGAGGAGTGGAGGAGGAGCCACCCCCTACCGGACACCTCCCACCTCCAAGAGACCTCCCCCACACCCCTCCGGTTTCTCGATTTTCACTAGAAGTGCATTCCAGGGGTGATTAAGATGTCGTCGCCCTTGACGTATCAACTTCCCTCCTGCCTGGTGCCTGTAGACTATACGAGTGAGTGGTATACATCCAATATATCCATTGTTATTGTTGCTGACCAGCCTAGTCCTTCCGAATCTCACCGGTACTCATCTAATTGGAGTCAGTACATATATAATAGGGCCCTTTTACGTACACGGAGAACACGTAATCCCATTCGGCGGCCGCGCCCACATCGTTATTCCTAGAGAAATGGTAGCTGAGGAAGCAAAGAAAAAGGCTGATGTGGGAGAGACGCGCGAATTTGCGGCTCTTAGTAAAATAATAAAAATATTTCAATGCCTACTTATTTCAAAAACTATCTACGGTCTACGGTTTCAACCTCGTCGGCTGGCAAAGGACAAAGTTCAGTATACTATTCTCTTGGAATCCCCGTCTCAGTTTGCATTTTCTCAGGGCTTCTTTCTTATTAACTTCATTGAATGGTAGCGGAAGATGAATCATGAGTATAGGAAAACTGAGATCGGTATAACAGAAACCTCTTCCTTTAACTACAAATCCCCACGTAACAACCCAAAATGAGAATAATTTCCCTGATATTTCAAATTATCAGAAAAACTCATCGCCAAAAAGAGCAGGACCAAGAAGGAGTTGAGCGGTCTTGGTAAAATTTGGTGCACAAGCTCTTACTAGTGTACCATGAAATCGATTAGAATTTCAAGGGTATGGGATGAGTACTCATTGAGAAAACTTGCCAAATGATCCCATTTCAATAGCGGCTATGTGGTGAAATTAATTCCACAAAACGGACACCTTGGAGGACTTTTGTTCATAAACGTAGCAGAAGAACACCTAAAGACGAGTGGAATATCACATTTTCAAGGTCATGGGATCAGGCAATAGTGAGGAAACGTGCCAAATGCCCGAAGAATGGGATGCAGTGGGCGGTGCCATCGAAAGCACCTGTTTCCTCTTCCCCTCAACCCACTTCATTACAGGATCGTTGTTGCGAATATAACTCCGAGGCTGTGCCAATATTAAATATCTGAAGGCAATTTCAACAAGTTGTTAAGAGTGTTTGGTCGATATAGGCAAATTGGGATGCATGCATCAGCTTCATGTATCAGGCTGATGCATACATTAAGTTAAATAGACGTCGAGCATTCCAATTAGTTTGACAACGGCCTTCCAATAAAGCGACATCTGGAGGATGCATATAGGAACAACACTTTCTCAGAGACAACAGAGAGAGTAGATCTCACACCATATGGTGACTACGAGCTCAAACGCTGTCTCCTCGGGATCGTACGAAAGGAAAACTTTTCAACGAGACCATAGATAAGGTAACCGTAGCAATTATCTGACTCGAGGGTTTTGGCTAAGAGAAGACACCACGGCGGTTAACCGTCTCTCACACTTAGTGCGGGTCAGTGGTGTTTAGCATGGATCCCCTTTTTTCAGGGTAATAACATTCCACACAAAGAAACCACCGACGATTTGGGAATGTCGAAGACGGAGCCGTGTGACGAGGAGTCTCAGGATTTGTTGGTCGATGTGACGGCCTTTGCTGGACCGAAAGAAAGTCTGTTACTTATTGAAAGCGTAAGGTACCGGCTCGAAGCCGAGCCGGTACCTTACGTCCCATCTGCCGAGTGGCAGATGGGACCGAAGGGAACATTGACAAGCAAAGCACTATAGAGAGAACCCTCAAGACCTATGAAGTGAAAGGCAAGAAAAAGAGTAAGAGACACTCTTCAGTCCTCGAGCCCGATCTAAACAAGAAGGAAGGCACAAAGGGTGCTCAATGAGGAACAAAGGATAAAGTCGGGAAAGCGAAAATAGCGAAGTGGACTCTCAACGTAATGACTGGTAGTTATAGCGTTCACTACCTATCCATTTCGATCACAATTTTTATGGAACATTCAGCATTACTTTCCCTCTCCAATATTCGTGATTTATTCTCTTTTATACCATAGGTCAGATCACGATCGAATAACCACTCTCTGCGGTGATTCGGGTGGCATATTTTGAGGCCAAGAGAGAAAGCTAGCATATATTTTGAGGGAAAAAACCGGCATGGGGAAAGCGAAAGTCAACCTTATTGTATGATTGTGTGTTGAATAAGAGGATTGATGATTTATGGGCTGTTCAGAATAGAACATCAAGGAAGATTGAAGGTGCTTTGATCCCATATGAAAAATGGCTATCGCATTTCATTGGAATATTTGATCTCAGTCCCACTCGTTCTTCCCCGACGATACCACACAAAGGCCAACGATCTCATTCTGGATGCTCTCATTGTGTCCCTGAGGCACTAAGTGCAAAAAAGAGAGAAGGCTCCGGGAATCGACGACTTTCTGAATTTAGTAAGTTCTTTTGCACCAGATCTTCTGTTTGAGGTCTTAAGACCAGTCTACACGGTGCATTCTGACTCACAAGTCGAATGTAGGCGTTGAAAAAGTGATGACAAGCCTCACGAAACTTGAGTCCGCAGGATGAGTCCGCCTCCGTGCGCTCTGCCCTACCTCCCTCGATCCGTTCGAGTCAAGTCGGTCATGGAGATGAAGTCTCGACCGCTTATCCTACCGCTGTTGGAACCCTAATAATTTTATTATCTCTAGCCTAATCCTGAAAATTCGGAAAAAGTCAACTTGGCATATACATGAGAGAGGTCTGAAAGAGCAAGTTGACGCGATACTACGCGCAGATTCGCAGAAGGTGATTTCAGATGCAGAGTTTGTTGAAGGAAATCCATTGGGAAATTTTCCGAGGCAACATCAGTGCTTCCTGAGAATGAAAGTGAGCGGACGACATAACATCCCGTCTCTTCGATTGGTTCCTTCCATGCAGTTGAACGCGCGCAATAGACCGAGCTTCTATTCCCATGCGTGCGGTTGTGCGCACTTGCGTCCTCCATATGCGGACGAATGCTCCCAGTCTTATCGAGTCTGTCCTCGCAGGCAACGAACTCATATGGTCCAACTCATGCGTAAAAACGCATCGTGTAGACAGGCCATTAAGGAATTTTACAATTAAATCCTAGCATCTGATTTCTATCTCGACGAATGGAAAGTGCGAATTCTAAAACTATGCTATAAGGGTAAGGGAAATAAAAAATGTTGTGGTTAATAGTCTTTTACCATCGATCGCCAAGTTGTTCACAAAAATGCAAGCCACACGAATGGGCCTCTCAATGTAACATCATGCCTTCTCTACAGAAGAGTAATAAAATGGACGAGCTCAGGGGGAAGGCTCTGGATAACGGTTTCGAGGTCATCGGAATAACCAAGACTTGGGGTAGCTCTCACATTTCGGATTTTCGGATAAGGAATTAGAGATTCATGGGTACGACATCTTGGGTAAGGATAGACTCGGCAGAAAGGAGGGAGGAGTCATGTTGTACGCTAGAACTGAACGAGGCGTTCGCGTAAGAGATCTCACCTCGGCTAACGGGTGGCGCAATCGAAATCTTGTGTTGCGTATATTGGCGGGGAGACAGGGAAGATCGTCCTAGGAATTTGCTATAGGCCCCCTAACTCCTCTCGTGAGGATGAAGCAGCTTATTTTGCAATGATGCGTAGTATCAGCGAAAGCTGGAAGCAGGTATTATTCTTCGGAGACTTTAACAAGCCTAACATGGATCGGACAGTGCCGCGAGGGGGGAGCGAAAGGGATAGGGAATTTCTAGTTGCGCTTCAGGATGCTCTTTTCGTTCAGCACGTAGAAGAACCGACTCGCGAGGAAGCTTTATTGGATTTCGTTTACGCGACGAACGACGATCTGGCGTTAAGGTTCAGGATAAGTTGGGTGATACGGACCATTGCACGATCACGTGAAACATCAAGCGGACGAAGAGTAACGTCAAACCGACGAAGGTTTCGTACAACTATAGGAAGGTTAATTTCGAGAGGCTATGGGAATGCGTTTCAAGCATCGACTTGGAGGGAAGGTTCCGTGGGCTGACGGTAGAGGAGCAAAGGGGGGCGTTCAAGACGTTATTACAGGGTTTTATGGAGGATGCATCCCCAAGAAGTCCATGAAATGGATCAGGCAACCGGTCTGGTGTACAGGGAAATCAAAACACTCATCAGGGATAAAAAGCATACCTGAGTATGTTCAGATTGCTAGCATCTGCTGCAGTGAAGCCTTGAGCCTTTTGATAGTGGAGAATAGCTGGGTAACTCACCTGATTTGGTTGCTTACGGACATTTATTGGCTAACATATGCGGTCGAGTGGAGGAAATAACGATGGAAGAACCTACTGAAAACACATTGCACTGAAACGTACTTTTGGTTCACCTGGAATCGCTTCTGGATTCCATAAAAACGGATGCTGATTTAGTTTAGAAACTGTTAAAGGACCCACAACGCATTATTGACGTGCAGGAAGCAAATGCTACAAAATGCTAAATGGCAAAAAAGGTTTTTTTTTCGCGCGCTTTGATAGTAAATTGAGTCAGTTTGGTCCTTTCATCACTGGGTTTTTCTGAGAGGGGATGGCATCTTTAGTTAACACCCTGTACTCTGCCAATTATCTTAGGATATAAATATATCTTGGATAGATTAATATTGGACAGTTAAGTCTTTATCGATGATGCCTATCATCATTAAGCCAATTTTCCATTACACTCACTACATCAATACCCGCTGTCAGAAAATTCGTACTCAGGTATCTTCTTTCTCACTTTTCTTGGATTGATTAAGAAACATCTTACACTGACAATCATTCGTAGGACAGATCACCTTCTTAGGAATGGCTCCTCCGCCCCTACAAGCCCATCCAAGAAACAAACCACATCTCTATCCAGAGGTGGTGCACAAGAAAGAGTCTTCTCAAGATAATCAGTTCCATCATAATTTCTTGCTCATTGATTGCCCTTATTTCTGCTTGAGCGATCTACCACTCAAGAAATACAATAAAAAGACGTGGAAAAGAAAAGAAGAAAGTTCCGCTTACAACTTTCGTCGCTCAGGTGCAGCCAGAGGATTTCATCTTCGTGGTCCTCTATGGACGTCTTGTAATTCAAGGGTACCTCCCATCTGTACCTATACGAGGAAGAAGATTCCAGCCACAATTCAGCAGGACATGGGACATCAGGCATAGGCCACGACTGGAGGGGAATGGTGCTCCATTAGACTAAAAAATTGTGATGCCAGTTTGCGGTAGCCACTCTAGAATTTCTCGCTAAAATATATATTTAAATCAACTAGTTATATAAATTAACATTTAAATTTATCGAATATGCACTGGATAAGATTAAACTTGTCTCAGTATAGGGCCATATTCTTGATAATCTCTGACGGAGATCATGTGACCACTTAGGTGCTGCCAGAATCTTTGCGATGCAATGGAGCAATGCAGCTTTGTTGTCATCTCTAACATACAGATAGAGGAGTGAGGAAGGAAGGGGGGGATAAGAAAGCATGTGCATGTTTTCGCAATCGAATACCGCATCTGGACCCATTTTCGTGGCAACAACGCTTATCAGAAAAAAAAATAATGGTGAAAGATGCGATGGCAAAAAGCTGCCGAAGGCCAGGAAGTCACAAAGATCATTGTAGACTGTGACTATTATTGCTGGAAAGTTGTATTCGGTGTATTAATAGAATATGACCGACTTGCGTAGGCTAGGATAAATTTTTTAAGTTTACCATGAAGAAAAAAACTAAATTACTAAACTTAGTTTTTTTTCCCCATGCCCTGCGAAATGAATTGATGTTGCCACAAGAAGGGTTCGAAACAAAAAAACTCGTATTGATAAAGTTCACCTGTGTATGCCGAAGCCAAGGTCAAGTGGTAGCAAAAGTTGCCGTAAGTATTGTTAAGCAGGTGATGAGTTCATGGGTATCTAGAAACAAAAATATCTTAGAGTTCTACCACTAGCAAAATACGTTTGCTAATGAGGTATATAGTTTAACTTCAGGAATAGTGAAATTGTTGCTTAATTCACCGGAAGTCACATTTCTTTAAATGTAGGGAAATCATACTTGACTGAATTCTTGTTTTCACTATTGACCATGTTTTCTCGCTCATTGCACCACCGCTGCTTTGGTGGGGCTCATGCCTATTGTGAGATTTTCATCTCCCAAGGCATGCTTTCTCCTTTTTTGGGTATCGAAGGAACTGTTAGAAAACCATCCGAGTCTCTTAGGTAGCACGTAGCAAAATGGGCATAGAAGCTTCCAGGAAAATGAGACTTCGTTTCTGCCCTCTACGAAAGACTCACATGAAAGGAGATTCGTTGGGGTCAAAAGTATCATTGGGATTCAGAATGAATCTCTCCTGGGTGATGACGTAGTGATCGCCGTCGTCCCGGACGTTGAGGGTGGGATAACCCATCTGACGGGTCCACGTGTCCATGATCAAGGACAAGTTCAATCCGTCCTCTTTCCTCTTCCACTCCTGGGTCAGGTCATTCCACAGGTCAGAGGTCACGGCGTTCTTGTATGCGAATCTCTTCAAGAACCGACTGATCCCCAGTCGGAAATCCTCGGGTCCCATGAAGAATTCTAACATCCGGAGCAGAGAAGCACCCTGTACTCGATAAGAGTTCGAAATACCCACTCTTATAAATGAATTTTCAGCCACGCGATGAAAAGTGGAAGAGAATGAAAAGGAGAGACCACCTTGGCGTAGGTGATGCTGTCGAAGAGTTCGGTGATTTCGTCTGGATTATTGACGACCTGGACGATTGGATGAGACGTGAGCCCCGCATCTTGCCTCAGGATTCTTTGCAAGTCATCCGCCAGGAATACAGTGTCCTGAAACGCATGCGTTCAAGAGAAGATAAACTTGGCATAGGGTTTTCGCGAAGATGACGCACACGAAAAAGTCTTGTAGTTCTCGTGTTGGTATCAAACTTACCATATCCCAATCTGTCTCGTATTGAGCTACGCCTTTGTATTCGATGTAGCTGGCAAATCCTTCGTTCAGCCAGAGGTCGTCCCACCACTCCAGGGTCACTGCAGTCGATAAAGAAAGACGGCGTGAATAGAGATAAGTTCTCAAATACCCGTCTTTGTTCCGATTCTCAAGAAGAAATCGAGAATGGAACTTTGTCTTGACTCGTCATAATCCCTCACGGTTCTGAACCAGAGGGAAGATGGCTCCTAAGAGTACCATTGGCCATGGTCAAGGTAGATGTCGTGTCGTTTCGCGCCAATAACTTCATGTTCCGTGTGCCTTGCATAACGGAAAGCATTGTCAGCACAAGTGTGCGGAAATCAAGGAGTCGTGAGCAAGGTCAATTTGGTGGGGAACGTCGTTGGTGAAAGGCAGAGATATGCCCTTCACGGATAATCTCGTCATTGATTCCCATGGTTATCACCATCCGACAGCCATCACTGCGACCGTGAAAGATTGTATGATCGCAAAGCGTTCATCTCGTCATCTGGAGGATCCTTTCTGTCTTCCACCGAATCTCACCTACTAGACGAGCCTCCGTACGCTGTGGCAGGAGAGAGGGAGGTATTTATGCATTTGAAGAGCACTTACTAAGGTTCCCAAACCAGTGATGAGCGAGTTCATGAGAGACGATAGTGGCCACTCGTTGCTTGTCGCCCATGCTGCTCGTCTCGGGATTGTAGAGAAGGAAAGGTTCTCGATAGGTGATCAATGCCCAGTGTTCCATGGCTCCTCCCAAAAAATCTGGGATCGCGATATGATCTGTGGGGGCAGCAGGTATCGTGTCACTTACATGGCACTCATCGATCATCAAGAGGAACAAGCTTGGCAATTCCGTCAAAAAGCGAGCCTCCTGTGAACACACTGTGCCCAATTATGTAAGACAAGGATATTATTAAGGGAAATGGGTGGGCCAGTGTAAAAGGGAGTGGGTCCCACGACGTGGGGTTTGTAGTGTGTCAAGTGGAGAGGAGAATAGCGTCATAAAAGTAGGTGGCCCTGAAGGGGATCTCCCTCTCCCTTGCAGCCTTTCAGTACTCATGGCATGAATTCCTCGAGGGACTAGATAATCTCCATTTTTTCCATCTTAATAAATACGAGCAAATGCTACTAATACAGCTTTCGAAAATTCTATTGATGCTATTGGACGGAATGTTTTTAAAGCAAAATGGATACAAAGGTGAGAGAATATTCAAGGTCTGACTTCTGACCCCAAGATTCAAGGTTTGAGCTGGGATGCTGAGAGGCATTTCTGCCCATATTGACGTCACGAGTCGAGGTCGAATGCTCATTCAAGCCCCCCCCACGAAAGGCCTTCCCCTCTGAAGATAAATGTTTCTGTGGGAGTGTCTCCATCGCTTTCTCAGTTACTCATAGAGCTATGTTGCTTCCTGTTTCATCTCTGTTCAAGAAAGTCTCTCAACTATTCTTTAGGCTGCCCACGGAAGGGACCGCATAGTGACTCAACTCGTTGCATTCATTCCCATCCCGACAAGTAGAAAAGTCATTCCGTAACTTGTGTCTCACTTGAGACTTACACAACTTGAGCTGGTTCCCCCGTTCTGCTGTCACCTTCGAGTTCGACAAACCTATCATGTTCCACATTATGGATTTTCCTAATGATGTTAAACGCCTGAATGTGCTCCCTCCGTGTTCGTGAGAAATTAATCCTCATTCATTTTAGAAGCACCACGCTGAAGCCTTTCCAAGGCCAATATATCCCTTCTTCCTTTTAAGATACTTTTCGAAATGTTATCGGGATCCTCGCGCTAACAGATAAGTGAATGGGAGTGTCGATTTATGACAAGGCAAAGGCAGCAAACAAAGATTGAGTTCAATATTTCTCATCTTCGTCCAATGAGGAAAGAGAGGAAGGAAGCTCGCTGACGCTGAAAGACAAGAGAAACAACTACCGAGTTTGGGAAGCGGGAAGGGAATGTCGAAATACTCCTCGAAATATCGGGTGATGTTGATCCCGATGTCCAGGGCGTACCGTCCGTCCTCGATTTTGTTCTCGGGCGCGAAGACCCTCACGACTTGGCCGGTTTCTTCATGGAGTTGCCCTTGGAGATGAGCGAAATCCGAGACGATGAAACAGGCGAGATATGTGACCATGGGGACGGACTCGTTGAAGTGGACCGTCGTGAATCCATCCATCGGTACTCCCTCCTCCTCGGACTGCAATTCCGATTTCCACAGCCGTTTCGTGAACCGCACTACAAAACCTTTTCACGAATGAACTAAAGACTCACGAGTTGATTCATGTTGGAAAGAGCAGAGTATTTTGAACTGGGCCTCACGAGAGCCACCTTGAAGGTGCTCTTGAAGCTAGGTTCGTCGAAACACGGGAAAGTCCACCTCGCGTGAGTCGGCTGGAACTTCGACGTCGCCAACTTCCTTCAGTGAACAGCATTATTCTCTTACGCTTCGGGGTGCTATTCGAAGTGCCTGGAATGGCATCTTATCTTACACTTTTATCATTGTAATCTTTTTTTTCTTTACCTGGTGTTACCCAGCGAATCGCGGTAGCTCGAGGCGTAGAATCCCTTGATGCCGTTCTTGAGGCTTCCCGTGAACTCGAAAGCCAGTGTATAGACGCCTGGAGGAATCTCCTCCTTCGTCTTCAGCACCCAGAATTCGTGGAGAGGGTATTCAAACGCCTCCTCAACTTCCAAGGATTCTTTATCCGTTTCACTCCCGCGTGCGACTTTTCCTCGATAAATCTTCGTGGCGATGACGTTCAAGTGTTTAACGTGGAGCCACAGATGAGACGTCGGCTTCGTCGTCTTAACCACGATGTTCACCTGTCGGTCAGAAACCGTATTTCACAATGCTTATCCGCGCTTGGCAAAGGGAGCAATCCAAGAAAATGTCAACCGAAAAACAATAAAATGTGAACTTCAAAAAAACCAATAAAGTTATACAGGGTGTCCCAAAATACCTATTAAACTGTTTTAAATATGTAATTTTTGTTTAGCAATGTCCCATTTGCTTTCAGGTAAACTAAAGCAGAATGGCAGATAGATCACATCGACTGAGCATTCAGCTGTGCATTAGTGTCATCCAACTCGTGTACAATTATGAAAATGTATCGGAGGTACGGCGTCAGTATCCCACTCGACTGAATGAACCACCACTTCACCCGGACACTTCACCCAAACGAAAAAATCCTATAAGATTATAACCTAGGGAAAGCTAACAAGAACAAGTATGAAGCAACTGGTTCTGTTCACCACGCATTAGAAGGATTTGGTGGACCATGTACCGTCAACAAAGATGAAACATGAAAACTTGCAACGACAGCCTTGATTCCAAGTAAACAAAATAATACGCCGCTTGTCACTAGAATATGACATCTCTCGCTCATCAGGCCATCGTATTGTTTGGTCCCAGAATTTTAAACCTCACAACCTGCGACTTTTACATGCATTATCAGTTGATGGTCGTCGCTTATATTTCTGAGATTTTCATAAAGCAGTTTTTTAATGATCCCGGACTCGTTGATGGGATTTTGGGATCAGATGAATTAAAATTCAATAGACAGGTTCACCTACATACTGTAATTGCGTGTACTGGACGGACACATGGTAGCCTCACGAGAGCTCAACTCTCCTTGGTGTGGGCCAGAATCTCCAAAAATGGCATTGTCGGGCCTTTCCTTTTCCACGACGGCACTGTGACAGGTGACTCTGTCTTGTGTATTTATATGCGCCTCCAACAAGAATCTCTTATTCCTGCCCTTTCCGAGACAATGGACACGGAGAGCATGTCCTTTGAACAAGATGGGGCCCCTCCCCACTTTCACCGTGAAGTAAGAGTCCACCTTGATTGAGTGTTCCCAGGGAGCTGGATCGGCAGGCGGGGTGGAGTGGCCGCCATGGTCCCTGGTCTTCACGCCTATGGTTTTTTTTTCACGGGGATACATCAGAGACTAGGTTTACAAAGTCAAACCTGTTGATGTGCTTGACCTTACACTAAAATCGCTTCTGCATATCGTGATATCTCAAAAGACGTGTGCGCGTGTTTGCAGTTCTGTCCCTAACTGATATGAAATAGGCATAAATTCGGAATGAGGATGTTTTGAACGTTTGAGGAACTGACGAGGGTTTTATGAAAACATGATATTAACATAACACGTGTCACGACGCTGAACATTAGTGAGGAATAAATAACAAGTATTAAACAGGTGTGTATGTGTAATGTATTAGTAAATGCTATAGTAAAGTTTACTAGGTATTTTTGAGACACTATATATTTACTGTAAACCCAAAAATTCATATTTCTTGCGATGTCAGCACTATTCAAATGTGGAGGTGTTGAACCCTCTGACTGAGAAAGTGCTTCTACGCCATCAGAAAATTTATTGATTAGGTTTATTGGTCATTCGTGATCAATGTTATTTTCGTGATGCGTGAATATCATGAAATAAAGGTTTCGATCAAGTGCATGCTTACGTCTGACACGGCCAGGGCCGAATTAAGGGGGGGGGGGGGGGGGGGAGGGGGGNCGTGAGGCTACCATGTGTCCGTCCAGTACACGCAATTACAGTATGTAGGTGAACCTGTCTATTGAATTTTAATTCATCTGATCCCAAGGGGGGGGGGGACCCAAAGGAAATTAAATGCGTTAAATATTTGCGTAAGCACCGAGGGGGAGGGGGGTTAGCCTCAAGAATCCACTTGCCCCGGGCCCCGCAACTTCTTAATCCGGCCCTGAACACGGCATATTTTCGTTCTCCTTAGCTCAAGCATCGATTGCTAATGCCTTGAGAATTATCATTTTCTCATCTGTGAATAACATATTTCGTTTAACTTAAAGGGGTTCATTTTTCTTAACTTGACCTTAGGTTGTGGATGAGATGAAGTAAAATTTGAGTATCGAAAGTCGCACGTCCCAGCGAGGCATGGAAAGGGAGAAAAAAGAGCGAAAAGCTGGAGTGACGTAACATGCTGCTGCCACTTGGCCGTGGAGGCCCTTTGGCTCTACTGGGGCCAGTTTCCCCTATCCCTCTTCTCTGCCAGTCCCAGTTAATCTGATGTGTAGAATGAAGGCGAAGTGTCTGTGACACGTTGGAATTAGGATGAAAAAATGACTCCATGGGCGATGCAGGCCATCAGCGATAGATTCCCCGATGCAGGCTAAACACGACTATGTCCCTTTTCATCGCGGAATAAGTTTGATCCATTCAGGAAGAGATTCTTGGATGAGAGACGAGATTGGATTCTTGCCTGCTAAACACGTTTGAAACGATCCTCTTTAACATGTATAGAGCATGTTCTAGCTCCAGGGCCAGGGATGAAATAGGGCGACGTAGAGGATTGAATCATGCCTTTAATAAACGAGGTTCACGAGAGAAAGCGTACGTAATCACTTCCCCATCCTCTCTCATTGCTCGTTTGGACATGCTAAAACACCCGTACACGCTACCGCACTGCGTGATAGAGGTAGTAAAATCTCGTGCAAGGGCCAGGAATGAATACGGAAATGAGATTGCGTCGCCAATTGCATTGCAAGCACGAGAGAGGGAATGCATCCTAGGCCTCGCACACTTTCCCCGTCGCGTTCCCGTTTCCAACTCGATTGCGCATACTCTCTTGTATCTTCTCATAAACAGCGAGCTAAGATGGGAAGGCGTGAGAACGTGAAGAAAGCCTGAAGACTAAGTGCGAAGACTTCGGGCTCCTCCTTTTTCCCAATCGGTCACGTGGCGTCATCTGTTGTCCCACTCAGTTGGTATCTCCATATCGGTTGACCAGCTCATTCATGAAACGCCTGTCCTTAACCCTTTCAGACCCAGCGTCCATTCCAACGGACATCGCATTTTTCATTGTGTCTATGGTAATTTCTTGAGATTCTCGTGACTCTACGCCCTATTACTCTACAATGGGCGCTATTATGCATGGCTCAATTCAATCGGAGGCTTTCTTTCACCCGTCAGTTTTATCATCTTCAGTTATGTAATTAAATGGATAATATATAATATTTGGTATGATATGGTAAATTTATACAAAATATAAAAACTATATATATAACATAGAAAGTTAAAGTAGAATAGCAAAAGAGCTCAAAAATGCAAACAAGTCTATTATTCCGATAGCGGCCCTAATTCAGGTTTGAAAGGGTTAAAAATATGAAAAGAACTCTAGCTATTGATGCCTGTGCTTTTGACGCTTCCATCCATGTTCCTGCGTTCTTCCCAGCTATCAATGCAACTGCAGAAGTCAACATGTACGAGTAAATGTTATGTGAATGCAATCTTTCTGGTCACGCACGAAAACAAAAATGATGAAGCGAGAGAAGAGGTGGACGTGGAGCCTGAAGTTTATCCATGAAAATTCGCTTTTCCCTCAGTCCAATGCTCAAGTGTTAGTTGCACCGACGTAGCCAAGATTGGGAAAACCGTATCCAGCACAAAAGCACACGGATGTTAGAGTTCTGTGAATTTGCAAAAAAAAGAGTACTTCTATCCCTATGAATAGGCTCCTTTGCTTTTTTTTATCTTCGAACTATTGACCGGACAAATATTTGAAAATCGTGAATATTTTTTTTATCGACTAGCAGAATAACGCCTACGGTCCTACCAAACGTAACTAATACGTTATAGACGCATATGGCATTAGTGGGACTGTTCCATAGCCGAATTCAATACAGTTTAGGTCAGCGTGCAAAAGGCATGCAAGCTGTTGATATGTAGAATCCTCTCCTCGGGATTCTAAAAAAAATGCATACTTACGTCGAAGGGGTTCATAGACATACGACGACTACCGGGAAGTTGTCAGAGAAACGTCTGTCACTTTCATCTCGCATTTAGTTCACCTTTAGCTTCTCTCATTGCTGTTCTCGCAGCAGGCGACCTCCCCGTACGAACATTAACGAGAAATCATATTTTCCGTATTTGAATAATAATACTAAGAGTGGCTGAGTTTCTTCTTGGAAGTCTGGATTTGAATAGCAACTTTTCAACATCAATAAGAATATAATAATGACTACCTCTCAGTCAAACGATTCGAATATTTTAAAGGGACAATTACAAATGATCCCTTTTCTTTTTTTCGGAAAAGAAACCTACTGAAAAAATAATAACACAGAAGCAAGCACGAGAATAGACTAAACTATTACTCTGACCTATTTTGCCAGGTCATGGAGGAACAAATCGTCCATTTCACCTGATTTCGCAAGTTATCATTATAGATTAACCGACGTAAAGCATGACTGGTTCGAGTAGGGGTGCCCCACGTTTCTTTGCAGTGCCAATCCTTTCCCAATAAGGAAAGTGAACGGACCCGAACACTTCCACGGAGTCATCTTCATCTATGCAGCATTACTTGCACCTGACGTCGATTCTAAACATAGCTTAACAATTTGCTCCGCCCCAGCAACTCTGCCGGTGACTTTCAAATCTCGTTTGTCATCACCTCAACCTCGACTATCGTGCTAAGAAACATCAGGTGGAAACGGATGAGCTCGCTGCGTCGATGTTCCCCTCTATCATCGTGGAAGCGAGAACGAGGCCTCCAGTCTTCCAAGAGAGATATCTAGTGAGAGATGAGTGAAGGTCTAGAAAGGATAGGCATGGAGTCGAGCTGTCCTCGTTTGTTGTTCGCGTCACTCCGCAGGCGAGAGCAGGTTTTCCTGTCCGTCGAATTCTTCCATACCTCCACTTGCTATCTCTGCAATCCCTTAAAAGTGATGAGTGCGGGATCTTCAACGAGTTTGCACCGGCAGAAGGTGCGGGGCTCACTCTGCTTTCTATTTTAGGCGATGTTCATTTATAAAGAAGGCTTCCATGACGAATGCTATGGTTTTGAAGAATTTCCAAATTGGTACCCGCTTTCTGTCGTTCTTTCGTGGGCATTCTTCTCCTACTCCCCTTAGGATCATTGATGGGGCAACGATTGGTGAACAAGAATGTCCTCCATATAACTTTGGGTTCCACGTCTGGAAGGATCTCTGCGTGATTGAAACACTGCAGGTGCTGCTGCATTGCGCATGAAAAGCAACGACTGCATGCTTACCCCTTCTGCTGCTCGAGTCAATATTCGATCCATCGAAGCATATTGAGAAAGAAAAGCGTTTTCTGCACCATGATCGACTACCGGCGCATACCCATTCTCTTCCCGTTCGGAGATTTAGGATTACGCAATCGTTGGGAGATTTCACTTGGCTCTACGCCGTATACTCGCGAATACCATCAGATAAACCGCAGAGATGGAATAAAACTATTGTTAGACATGAGAGTAATCTTGTGATCGGACGTCCTGCCCGAAAATGGGGATAGGAGGGGCTGACGGTCGTGACCAGGAGTACCTGAGGGGAGGATGGTTCTAGTGGTTAGTACTTTTGCACTTTCTGATCCCGGGGCCTTTCTCTTTTCTTTTGGCACTTCCCAAGTCTAAAGATCTTCTCTTCCGTTTCCGAAATCAGTTCTCTTATGGGGGCTCGACTAAGGAGGACAGAGGCGGTGACAATAGCCGAGCCCACGCTAAAGCCTCTAATTGTATGGTGCACGCGACACAAAGCTTCCTCAAGAGATTCTTTTTCTCAGCTCAGTAGGCTACACCCCAGCATCCGAACCGGGGAGTGGGAACCGATCCGGAACGGAATCCGTTTCACACTGCATTGAAGCGATGTCGCCGGGCAAACCTGGGCAGACTAAAAAAAAAAAACGAGTAAAAAAAGTCTGCAAATAGGGGAGGCCGGGATAAGATGAAACAGATTCGATATTTCACACGCCTAGTTTGGTATCCGTTTCACTTACATGGTTGCTTATAGCATTCAACAGGCTTGGTTAGCCCTAGATTTCAAGGTTGCTCAGCTTACTTTGTTTTGATTCTATTCAAGTTCATGTTTTTCACGTGTTCGTTATACGTTTATGGGTTGTGTACATAAGGTGTAACTCAAAGACTAATGCAGCTCTATTTCACAGAGGGTTACAAGTTTTCGATAAGACACATTCTACACAACCAGTATTCCTGACCGTGTCAGTTGACCCACTTGCGTAGCAAGTTACATTACTGACCCAGTGGGACAACATGAAACCTTCAAAACTGGATTAAACGTGTCGACGAGATGGGGCAAGGTGAAAAGATACCCAGAGAAGATCGCAGCCTGATGGTAATGCAGGAAAGAAAGTAAACGGCATTGACAAGGAATCCAATGAGAAGAACCTGGTTAATTTACTGATATTGATATTTAAAAAATGGATCGCCTGCCATACCTAGAGGTGAAGCTGTACTGGGTATGGAAAAAAATGACGCATGACTTTGTCTCTCTGTCTCGGAACTGCTTCAGACACTTCAATCAAAATAGATGGAGATGTAGCTTGCCTGCTTTTGCTTCAATTTTGACAATTTTTGTTGAAATCAAATGATGCAAATAGAAGATATTACCGGTAAGTTTAACACATTTATGTAATATGGACAGAAGCTCCTGTGGTTCTCGAAAATGGTTACAAAATTCTCGAAACTTCTATGACATTTTCGAGATTGAAAACAGATCATGCAGCACAAAACAAACGAAAAATTCTCTCTCTCTCTCTCAGCGCAATTTATCACAGCACAAACATGAGTGAGCGCGGAGGAAACGAGCTTATGTGGTGCTGCAATGTTCCAGTGCCATCGCAAGTCAAAATTCCCAGTGCGGAGTTACAGTGATCTTCGTTCGAGGAGTCATCTAATTTACATTTCCAATCCACGCAGAATGTTGGTTATTACTTCGATATGGACGGTATGATTTTGTCCTAATTATCAAAATAGAAATGATGTCCACTACTGGCCAAAGATAATTTTTTGCCTGCAAAATCTGGCATTCAAGGTATTAGTTTGTCCTCAGATATATGAATGACGGTTAAATCTCACCTGCTTGATGGTAAAATAATAATGCAGGGAACTTAATTTCATAACTGATTGTTATCTTGTCATGATTACAACAATATGGTTTTGTCACAGGAACCACGGACATTCCATTTTCTCTATACAAACACCATGCGAACAAAGAATAATTCAGCCATGATTTCTCGAAAAGACTCTCCAGTCGAAGTAAGCGCATGTGAAGGAGTGCAACATAGGGTTAAACCTGTTTTACTCGAAAACCGTGTCGACACTTTCTCCATGAACGGACTTAGTTAACCCAGAGTGGAACGAACTGATTCCGAATCGAGTCGAGGGAAGAATGTGAAAGAGCGTGAAAAGCCCTCCTGATCCCATACTTTTGCGGTTTCGAGTTATCTATAGAAAGCAAAAGTGACAGCACCCAAGGGTTATTATATGAGTATGCATAGCCAAGGCTTTTCAGGATCTTCCTCAGGGGCACGGTCCTACTTGACACACAGTACAACAAGGCCTTCAAGGAATCTTCCTTGGAGCGAAATCTGATTTTAAATGAAGGTACAGAGTATATACCGTAGAAGGTACAGGGTGTCCCAACGAATCGTAACGATTTGATTCTTGAATAACTTTTAAAATTCTGCACTCATTCTGATCATGTTTACATATTTCTGTAAAGCGTTTCAAGAGAATTTCCTGACACCTATTTGAGTGAAAACGGTTGAGAATATATGAACTTACAGCAATCCTCGCAGACACCACTTTTTCGCGTCGCTGCTCTCATTTTCAGCCGTCTGATTTCATGTTTTAATGTGTGCTAATTGCGTGTACCGTCTCCCTGAGTTATGAGGTATGGAATATGTTTTGGAAAGAGCCAACAAAGGAGATTCCAGGTGGAATTTCGCGATTGGAGATGCCCAAGTCGATCGGCAAAGTTTTTAAAAGTGCGTTTTCACGTACACGGTGGCGCGAAACGTCGAAGTCGATGTCTAGGTCTAGGTCGTCTGGATAAGAAGCGGCAGTAATTCCAATTGCAGTCTTAAAATTTAAAATAAAAGTCACGCACGAGGTGGGTGCTTTGTCAGTGCTGCTCAAAATATTTCTCTCCATTTTCGCCATAAAGACTGTTTTTTATGCTTCGTCCTCGTCAAAGTATTCTTGCTTGCGTTGTGTCTTTAGGCCTCAAGTGAGAAGGTAAGTCTTGAATTTGATTATGTGTTTAGAGTATAAGGACTGGGGAGGGAAGAATATAGTGCGTTTCCTATACAAGTAGTAGGAAGGCCCACGAATATCATGGCCAATCTAGATATTTAGCATCTTTGGATCAGGAATCTAGCTCAAGACATGAAAAAGAATGATAAGAAGGGTATGCACGTACAAAGGGTCTGGATTCTACGCTTAATTATTTGAGTATTTTCCACGAAGTTTCGGTTCAACTATTGTGTTTTAACTTGTCGCGTTATACTGAATTCTATGACTTTCTGCAAGTTTTAGAGCATTTTTCGGCATTTACAGGCATTTAAATACATTTATGACATAATTGGACCATTTAAATTAACTTTTTGATTAATAAACACTTTGATGACTGGCATTTTCCGGCAAACCATCACTTTTCATAGAGTCGATTGACACCTGGCTGATCTCTCTGTCACGTACAGTTCTCTGGGAATAAGCTTGACAGGTGCGTATTATATGTATAGATAGTGGATTCTGCGGAGTCTCTTCTCTCTCCTGCCCTTCAATTAAAAAAATAATAACACCACTTGAACGCAGTGAACTTTCCTTTGAAGGATGCAACTTGATGACACTGCACAATCAAGAACACCGCAATAAGGCAGCAACCATAATAAGCAGGCTTTTTGGCGACAAATGGAACACATCTGTTGAACACTGCTGCAACCGCTGCATTCCGAAACTTGGAAAAGCTGAGTTTTCTTCTCGAGGTTTAAACTACTGTTACTTTTTAGCCAAACAGCCTAGAGACTTAAAAATATTAATGAAACTAATTTTTGAGAGTTTTCTGTGGGATACAAAAAATAGATAAATCAAGCATTTCTATTGCAGGTTTTTATAAAGCCTCAAACAGGACGCTTTTTTACACCACCTGGTATATATATCCTTATGAAATATGAATCTTAATCTACCTAATCTGTATCTCTACCTGTACCTGGGGTATGAATCTGTTTGAAAAGAACCAACTCACTTCTCCGTAGAATGTGTCATTGTGAAGATGGGGATGGAGTAGGAGATCGTAATGAATTGGTACGACGTCCCTCGGTAACCGGAGTTCCTTTTCCCATTCCTTCCCGATGTCAATCTTGGAATCGGATTCCGATCCCATTGCGACTCCCACGACCAGGAGCAGGATGAGTCGGATGGAGGTGAAGGGGGAGGGAACGGAAGCGGAACGTCCTGCCATGTCTTCGGCCGCTCACGCAATGCCTCTCTGATCCCTGCCCCTGCCACTCCTCTCCCCCCAGCTTGGGCATATTCCAGAGAGAGTGAGTGTGTGTGTATGACCTCCCTGTTACTCTCTCATTCCCTCTGAATCACTCGCGAGAGGCAGTAGAAAAAAACGAAGTGCCAGGAGACCTTGGATCGCATTCGTCAATTGACGAGAAAGTTCTCTGTGTTTTCGCTAGCTTCAAAACCCCTTTCTCCTATGCTGCGACGTAGCCAACGAGAGGACGAAGTGCCGACACCCATTTCAATTCTCATGCCCCCCCCTCACAACAACACGAATGAAGACAAGGCCCAAAAACCGAGAGACGATGATTTGAGCGTTGTCATCCTATAAAAATGACTTGCTTTCCTTCGGTATTTAGCCGGAAGGGCGAGAAAGCCGGCTTGTTTTGGGAAATGGTGTGTTAGGTAAGTCAGAAAATTTAATAGCAGCCCGAAGTGGCCGTGAATCTATGCATTTTTGATTCTTCTAAAATCGAAAAGCTTCTTTCAGTTTGAGGTTTACATGGACAAAACTGGCCCTTCTCCCTCCACCCTCCACCCTCCAAATAGAGAGACGAGATTTCGATATTGTTCCCACGTCATCTGTAAGGCATGTCTTTTACTCTCTTCTGTCTGTGAATCTCTTTCAGAATGCGCAAATTTATCGAAGACCAGCTTATACCGAATCCTCATTTCCGTGGGTGCATGAAGGAGACGAACACAAACGTTCAGTGATGCTGACAATAAGACGGGAGTAGGTGGGAGAGGGAGAGGTGGCGGGGAGGGGAGGGGAGGGGGGAGGGAAATGGAAGGACGGCGGAATTCCTGAGGTCAAGAACCTAAATACAGGGTGGTTATAAAGTCCGAACGAATTTCGTGGTTTTCATTTTGTTTGTACTGGTTACCCGTGACAGTTACATGCAAGGATGGCTGTTAGTGAGTTTTTTGTTATTGTTTATATATATATTTTTTACGGATACCAATGTTGAAGCCATCAGCATGAATTGGATGACTTCATTCGGAAGAATCGAATTTATGGGAATCCCCGCGAAGATGGGGACTCTCAATTTCGAACGTTCGCAATACGTGGACGAGGTGGGATGTGTGGAGACTGGGAATAGTCAAACATTTCCAACTCGCTCCAACCACGATACATAAGGACCGTGCGGAAACGAGACTCGCATTAACACATTAAATAAGGAGCAGAATTTTTTTTCCCCCTTACTTGTATTGTGTGCCAAGTCGAAGTGAGACTCAACGCATTGGTGGGGGCTGAAGGACATGGCGAAAAATTCCTCGAATTTTCCCTCTCCTTGAACGAAATCGAATTATATTCCTTTTGAACATCGAAGAATTCTCCTGAGCCGTCAGAAATAAACATTACATTTAATATAATAAAACCTCAAATAAATTTGTACCGGATTCGACACTTTTCAACGACATTTCAGTGAGCCCATGTTCAATTGTGAAGCCAGTGTCTCAGCGCACTCGTCTTCATAACTTTCCGTTACGGCTCACCGGCATCGCAGAATATCGACAGAGAACTGCTGATAGCCTAAATGTTGGATACCACAAGAAACTCCATTTCCTCTCTTGAACATACCTGCATGAATCTTGCAGTCTTGCATTGCCTAGTAGCACAGAAAAAAAGGAATTACTGCGGAATTTCTAACCACCCTGTTGACAGTGGAGAGAAAGTTCATTCCTCGCTGGATGTGTTGCGTTGATGTGTTGACGAGAAAAAAAAACTAGTCGTGATCTCGATCCTGATACTGGTAGGACAAGGCGAATGAATATGAGGTCACCATCATCGCTGTGTATCTTCATATGTAAATAGAAGTGTGGAAAACTATTAGGAATAATTCCGCTTTTAGGCCAAACGCTCGTCCGACATCCGTCACGTGGAAGCGAATTATTGGCGAATCCTGAATTTAGCGCTACAAGGCCAAGAAAGGGACAGAGTTTGTCTATTTCTTCTCTCTCCTTAGCTCATTTTATCAGGCTCTTGTTTACAGAATGAGTCCAGGCTCCATGTCCTTCCCTTGTTCTTGTGATCTTTGATATTGACACGATTTTAAGATTAATTTATTCCATGAGCGGCTAGGGTCTGGCCAAAAAGTGATATTGGAAACGGTTTTCCTCGTTTCCACATCAGAAACGCATCATGATTGGGAAATTTAGCTACGAATACATATTCAATGTGTAGCTCCCAGATATAAACTTAATTTTTCTTTCTTATGTACATATTTTTCATCTGTAAGCACGTACACTTACGTTTGCAGTATACGAGGGCCATTTCGAAAGTTACCTATCTGGTCCCGCCACGTCGTAGTGGTAGGTGATATGACGCTGCCCTCTGGGCAAATGTTAGTTCTCACTGTTGGTACTTAGAGGCAGCTATGACTTGTCGCTGCTGTCAGTTCGAGCATGGCAATGAACGAGAAGCGTGTTTGTCTAGTTTTACTGGGACGGACGTCAGAACAATGATTAAATCTACGTCTTTCAGGGGAAATCTCCAAACCATATCCATGATCTCATGTGTGAGGCTCTAGGAAGTCATGCACCTTCGTATAAGACGATGTATTGGTGAGTGAATGAGATTCATTCCGGACGTGACAGAGTGAGTGATATCCCAAGCGAAGGCCGACCAAGCACCGTCACGTTCTGAGAGTAAAAGCAGTGTTGAAACGTTATCGCAGGACCACATGCACGCTTCTCGTTCCATTGCCATGCTCGAACTGACAGCAGAGACAAGTCATACCTGCCTCTTAGTACCGATAGTAAGAACTAACACTTGCCCAGATGACAGCGACATATCACCAACCACTACGACGTGGTGGGACCATGAAGGAAACGATTGAAATGACCCTCATATATGCATTGCATGACTGTAAAGGCCGATCTGTACGGAAAATTAGTTTTAAAACTATTTCGAGCATCTTATATCGTGACAACAAACTTGGACCACCATCCTTGAATTTTGCCTATACTTCGAAAGTTCAAACGAAAGAACTGCGTTAGGAAATGAAAGAAACTTGACGAGCCAAGGCCTCTGGTGGGCCGCCTTTATATCACTGTAGGGAACGAGGAAGAAGCGGATAGGTAGAGGTTGAGAGATAAAAAGGAGAATAAGAGCTGTAGGACTGCCAGATGCCGTTTTGCGAATTCGGCAGGCAGTTGTTATCAATGGGTCCGTCAGTTACATCTAGATGGGAGCAGGCAGTTCTGGTCGGTGACGTGACACTCCGACCCACTGAAGGCTGTGCATGAACATCGAGTTGCGATCAACGTATGCTAGCAGTTGTTTGCTTTTTTTTTTCCATAGTGAGAAATTTCGCAAATAATTTTTTGCATGAATTTCGCCAATAATTAACACGAACATCTTGTCCATATGTATCCGCATAGAAAATTTCACGATATTTCGGTTGACATATTGTGAGTTATCAGTGAACAATGAAAGTGAAGCAGACGCGCAGAGGGGACGGAATTACGTGCAGCTTTCATTTTTGGGAAAAACTCTCACCAGAAAAGTAAAATTACCCTTCCCGGAACTAGGAAATGCATTGGAGCGGAAAGAAGACATTTCCCAGAAGGGGAGACATGAAGGCTTGAGAAAGTGTCTTTCCAAAATATGGATGAACAAATCTGAGCGCAGGAAGATGAAAATGGGAGTTTATTCTTTTTGATTGTTGATGGTGACCAACATGGTCATGGATGAAGGTGCTGACTGATGACGGTGCTGACTAATGATGATGGCGATCAGGAGAGCCACTTTTGAAGGGTGGATCCATAGTTACGGACCCATTGGACGTTATTCCTCACCGTTTCCAGGGCCTCTTGTATCACTCGGGCTGTCTTCGTCTCCGGTTTCGACCCGAAAAAGTCCTCCATCTAACCACCAAGAATAAGAAAAGACTTCCGCATTGGCGTCCGAGGTTTTTTCAAAAACTTTCTCTCATAAAAAGTCCTTTGCGCCGACGTCATCTGTGAACAAGTGGGGTTTTTATGAGGTGAAAGGTTAACGGGATCTATTTTTCATTCTAATCGTTCATTGTCATCTCCCATCTCTTTCTCTCATGACCCCATCGATCCTTCCATATATCATGACATCCCCCCTTCCCTTGAAGAACAGAACTGGTTTTTTCTCAGAAGCATTTCTTGGATATTAAAGAAACACATGTCCACTCGGGCACATTTTACTTTTTTCCGATTGAGGCGATAAGAGAAGTTGCCTTTTCTTTCACTTGTCCTTTCCATGTCGTATCTAATAACGTCAAGTGCGATGCGAGAACAATCGATGTAAGTAACGAATATCTTATTTTTTATGGGTAAATAAGACTGGAATACGTTTTTCCTACCTCTATCCGGGTAGAAATAAGATGCATGATGCATCTTATCATGACGCAGATACGTTGTTCCCATATTAGGGCAGGAACGTGTAGTTTCCCTTTCACCTCGGGCACTGCCATCTGCATACAGTATTTCAAGTATCCCCGTTGCCTAGCTTCCCGTCCAAAGCACGTGGATTTGACGTTTGAAGAACGGCTTCGCTCAACATTGATTCAGTTCGCAAAATATAAGACGTGGGCCCTGCCAGCAGATATGGATCACGTAGAGGAAGTTGGAGAGCAGCGCAGGAGGATTATTTTCAAAACACCCTCAACCTCACACACCATCTCATTTCATTAATAATAATAATATAGCTACTTTCAGGTATTTTAACATCTTCATTGAGAATTTTAGGCTCGCATTTTTGTATTCTAATTCATCAAATTTGAAAGGGTACGTCAGTGTTTTAAAAATATAATCATTCGCTGAGGTTGATGCTTTACTTTGAAGAGCTCCAATAAAAATGCTAGTTAGGAATGCATTATTACTGGGGAAAAAAATTCGTGATGCAGGTTACACGTCGGCAGATGCATGGGAACTACTGGCCCTTGGTCAGCCTATTCGCTGGCTCAGTGACATGGGGCACATCTCAAGCTACCAGTTCTTATGAAGGGAGAATATCGCAGTATACCAACAAAAAACATTCCATGCGTTCATATGTGAAGATCTCAGTGTACCGTGTTGCTTTTCCACAGTCCTTGAAAGACTTTCACTGATAATAGATTGTCGGCACCTAAGAGTTGACGGCTGCGGTGTAAAAATGTGGAGATTAAAAAAAAAATACACCGCCCTCTTCCTACGTCATTCTCCCTGCCGCCCGAAGTTTTCTCCCGGACTCAGTGGTCTTTGGTGGAAAATGCAATAAAGGAATACTCTAGGGGTAGAGCACACAGGCAACTTCGTGTCTCAGGCAACTTCGTGTCTATCAAAATCTGTAAACGATGGAAAGAATCCCTTCCTTCATCATTTGTATGCGAAAATTGTACCTCCCGGAAATTGTTCTAGGTTTTCCATGTTACATCGCTAAAAAAAAATTATTTTCCACATTAAATGCTTTTCCATTTCAAATAAAAAGGCCAAGTAATACGCAAGCAAACGTGACTCGGTCAATTTAAAATTTCCATTAAGTTACTTCTTAGAAATATATTGTCAATTAGGTATACGTTTAATTATACATTTTAATATGTACACGATCTTCTAGGAAAAAATATAGAAAAATTAAATGAACATTCAGTCTCCGTGTACAAGGTGTACGGGCTAAAACCATCCGAGGTGACGAATGATATTGTCAAAAGGAAAGGAAAAAGGAAAAAAAAAAGTAGTACCGCTTGGAGTTGAGCAGGAGTGTTGAAAGTCCAAGTCATGGAAGGGATGAGGTCTCGAATGGCGGATTCCGAGAATTTCCGCGTCAAGTAATTCCATTCCTCCCTGCAGAAAGATGATTCATTGTGAAGCAACAGTTGCATTTCCATGAGCGAAAGGAGTCGAGAAAAACGGACTGGACGAATTTCCAGACGATTTCGGTGGCAGCGGGATTGGCGGAAAGGGACTGAAGTTGAGGTAGGAAGTCTCTCTCGTCCACCAGAGACTCGTTCTTCATGTTATTCAGGAACCTAAACATAGGCAATCCACTGGTTCAGCGCTTCGAACACTGAATACGATAAATCGACGAATTCCAATTTGGCGATGTAATTCAGTATAATGTAGTGCAGTACAGCGTAAATGCGTCAAGTGTAATTGGGGAGAAACCGGCCGTCGTCGGGCCCGCACTATCTTAGCAATTGAGGACTTCTAACCTGGTGCATTACGCCTAACTCGTAGGAATAGACAGTTTTCAGCTCAAGTCCGGAACATTTTGAGCGTGGAGGAAAGAAAGCTCTTTTTATTTTTCAAGCAGAAAGACCTCAAGGCTCTCATTAAATGGAGTATGGAGGCGTGCGGAAAAAATTTAGTAATCCAGTTTTCTTTTACCTTCATGACTCAGCACCAAGCCTCCTATTCTATGGAGTGCTACCCCGTCACCCTTCTGAAGATTCCAATGCTTAAAATCGTACGGCAATGTGCGTAGATATTCCATTGGAATTCGCTATCTGTATTGTACGGATTAAAGGAATGTCGACCTGAGAATGAGACCGGTATCCGTTGCATAGGCGAGTCCGTTGATAAATCGCCTCTTCCTGAATGGACTCCGCGCTTCGGCATAATGCTTCCAGAGGGCATTCCAGGTTTCTTCCTGACTCTCTTTACTTCCTTCGCTGTAGATCCCGTATTTGAAAATCGCCATCTCCACGTCGGAATGGAAAATGGTCTGCTCGGGATCCTGTAGCCATTGCTTCAACTTTTCTCCCGCCTCACGAAGGCATCGCTGAAAGAATCCATCGATCACTTGATCGATCCCTCCGATGCATGCCAAATATCAGGAGAAGCGGAACGAGAAAAGCAACTGACGGGATTCTCGAAGTGTCCTCCCAGTCGGATGGCGAGAACGCGAAGTTTCCTCGTGAGAAACCCGTCTTCAGGCTTTACGTCCCAGCCCAACTGCTCGAGCACCGGATCCACCAAATCCGCCACATATTCCTGCGTGTAAGAAACAAGGAGCGTTCAGCATCTGCAAACGAGGGGGATCGTGGCGGTAGGTTCGAAAGAGTGAAAAAGGGGACCCGACCTGTAGGAGTTTGTAGAATGGCAGATTGGTGCTCCGAGACCCGAGGATGATGAGATGCCGATTGGCAGCCTTCCAGGGAACGACATGAGTCTCCTTCCTCAGGTATTTTGTCATCTCCAAGGGGACATCGTAACTCACGAGGTCTGCCTCGGCCAGGGCAAACACATCGTCCAACAGATTCGTTCGATCCTCCACGCTGAACATCTATACGACACGCCAACAGTTCAGGCCTCATGCCTCCTAGTACTAAATGGGAAGTAAGCAGTGATTGATGATTGAAAATAAAAACCGTGTGGTCTTGTTGAATAGATTTTAAGATTCCCTTCCAGATGGATGGAGAGTAATTCACTCGGTAATATCCCCTCTGATCCACGTTCAACTTGACCCAAGGAGCACCCTCCGGCTTCTCCAACCTCACTACATCGGATCGCATGAAAAAAAAATTCGGTCTATCGTTCACCTTGAAGGCCCCAGGAAAGGGAGAGGGAACTCAACTCACGGAAATCGTCTTCTTTGTGGAGCCAAAACAACTCGCTCTTTTTCAAGTCTGGCGTTCGGAAATTCACCGGAACGTCCCATTTGTACCTATTATGCGCATCAAGGTCATCGATTCCATTCTCATTATAAACATGCGAGGACGCAAAGGACGTTCAACAGACCCGTAAGGTGATTGTTCGAGGTTGAATGTGGCATTGGGAGAAAGTATGAACCGTCGTTGGGTGATGACGATGTGTCGCGGCCCGTCTTCTTGAACGTTGAGGACCGGGTATCCCATCTGACGAGTCCAGGTGTTCATGAAAGACGAAATGTTCAAACCGGATTCCGACCTGGATTCCCATTCTCGATCGAGATCCTGCCACAGGTCAGAGGTAACTGCTCCTTCGTACAAGCCTCGATTAAGGAAACGGTTCATCCCTCTTCGAAACCCGTCTGGTTCCAGGATGAATTCCAACATCCGGAACATGGAAGCACCCTGAAAGAAAACCCAAATCCTCAGATCCATTGCGATGTCATCACGTACCAAATGTAGACAGGATGGGGCTGAGAACCTTGGAGTAGGTAACGCGATCGATGGCTTCGAATATCTCGTAAGTGTCTTTGTCTTCCGAGATGATGGCATGGGAAGAAACTTTGGCATCTTGGTAATACATGGCCTTCTGCATGTCACGGGATAGGAACAACGTGTCCTATATCGGGTCGAAGGAAGCAGGATATCACGTTATAAATTGTCAGCTTGGGAGAAAGGGAAAAAGATGAGGATATAGGCTTGCCATGTCCCAGTCGGTCTCGTGTGCGGCGACACCTTTGTACTCCATGAACTTGCCGAATCCCTCGTTGAGCCACTCGTCATCCCACCATTCCATCGTTCCTGGAACATCATGTCCTCACGTCTTTATGTCTACCCGACACGTTCACCGAAATAGGTGAAGGAGGAGAATCACTGACTGAGATTTGCGAACCACTGGAGGGCAATCTTGTTTGCGATAAGAGTGGAGATTTTCTGCCTGTCGTAAATGCTCCCCTCTTCATTGTCGTAGAGGAAGTAGGCGTAGTTATAGGAGATCAAGCCCCACTGCTCCACTGCCTCTCCCAAGAAGTTTCCCAGCCCCACTTGATCTGAGGAAACAAACAAATTATTTCCACTCAATTAACGAGAATGAATGCATGGAGTTGAAACCAAACATCCATAGCCGACCTCGTAGGACATAGGAGGGGACCCCAAAATGAAGGAATATCCTTGGAAGTTCAAGAGTAGGAAAGCAATATTTGGATAGGGTAGATCAATTTACATCCATCAAGAGATGTCACTTTCACAGGATGTGTGCCTGATTGGAGACCATTTGAAAATCCCCCACCCTTTCATAAAACCCCTCCCACACAGTTCAAAGAAGAAAGGATTTTCACTGTTCCGTTCAACGAAAGGAATGGAGTGAGTGAAGAAGAAGAAAAAAGTAACGGTGTCACCGGGAGCCGGTCCCAGTGCCTCATTTTCTATTGTTCCCTCCAGTTCCGGTATGCTTATTCTCGAAGGAAGAGAAAGGTTGCCCTCTCTGCTTCCCTGCGATATCCCTTCACCTTCAAAACTTGTTTTTCTCCGCACGTTTGTTGACAGTTTTAATGCACACGCATTCCTTGGAACTTTCACTGTTCTCTGCTTGTTCTCACCGAGTTTTGGCAGAGGGAAGGGCGTGTGGAAGTATTGGGAGTAGAATTGGGTAACGTTGAGGGTGAGATCCAATGCATAACGGGCATTTTTGAGCAGGTGCTTCGGAGCATACACCCGACATCGGGTGCCCAGGGTGTTGCCTTCCAGATAGGGAAAATCCGAAACGATCCAGGAAACCAGGTACGTAGCGGTAGGGAGGGACGTGTGAAAATGTACTGTCGTTTCTCCTTCTTCTGGTACTCCTTCCTCGCTCGACTAATGAACAAAATAAAAGTCAGGGGAAAACAAGAATCATGAGACAGACTCTCAATTCCAAGGCACGTTCATGCATATGTTAACCAACTGCAGAATGCTGCTTTCGGGAAAACTGACTGCAATTTTTCCTACTTCTATCGCACGATAAAGCTCTTGCTAGTGGGGAACATGTGAACATTACAGCGAGCACATGACATGCTCACGTGGCGTAACAGTTACGACATATATCAATTCTACGATAGAATGATCCATGTATTCATATATCTGTATTTTGATTTTTTTTGTTCGTTAAAATCTGCATTTTAAATCCATCAACGCTGTTTATTGGGAGTATTTCTGGAAGACATCTCGTCTCCAAATTCAAGCCGGAAATTGTTGCCAGGAGAAAGCCCGTGCTGCACCCATCCCATGGAAACGGGGATAAACACTTTCTCCTGCTAAGAAATTCCGTATTCCCGCTATCACAAACGAAATGATCACGTCAGTTTTCTACGAAATGCTGCTCCCGGAGTGCAGCAACGGAATGAGATTGGCTCCTGGTGTTCAGTTGCGACGAGGCAATAGCCTACTCTTCATCATAAGCCACACGATTCGTCGCATCAGAAGCCTCACGATTACAACACGATCACGGGGCAGCCTGGGAATGTGAGAAAACTTCTTTGATATGCGGAATCAATGAGAGGTTGGTTTTCAGTTGGCCGTCAAACAAGAAAGACATTCCTTTCCTCGATTCTCTCATTCGTACCGTTCGTAAATGGTAGAATAACAAGTGAGCTGTATTTATGTATGCAGAGGCAGACTTTTGTCAACTCCTGCTATAGAATTGCCCTGTTTCGCAAACATCGTGCTGTCAGGCACGGCTGATGGATACGAGGAGGAGAAAAATAATGGAACAGGACACAATGAAGTGCAAGTGCTGGGATTCCATTGTTTCTCTTCCGTCCACGGGAATCTCTTCCCTTTTCGTCCGTATCTAGGCCACCTCTCCCGTCCCGACTTCAACGAACGGTTGAATGAAGAAATATGCTAGAGAATCTATTCACTTACGAGAGGATTCATGTTGGAGAGGACGTGGAATCTCGGGGCCGAGGGTTTCACCACGGCGATCCGGAAGGAAGACTTGTAGCCTGGTTCGTCCCAACATGGAAACACCATTCTCGCATGATCCGGGTGGAACCTCGTCGTTAAATACACCCTGGAAAAAAAATCCTTGTTGAATTTAAAGAGCTCTATGCAGTAGAATTTTTTTTTTTCAAGTTGATTTCCGTTTGCTCGACTGCGACCCCCCACACGGGATTCTGACGCAGCAGTTCTTCCACGTCGCCGCGCCTCCTTTGTAAACTCGGCGGACATTGTTTATCCTGCCCCTCCCTCCATTTCTCGTAAATATACAAAAAAACACACACTAACCGAGGGGCGCCAGAAGGCGTGTTATATATCGAGGCATAGAACCCTCTAGGATCGACCTGGATGGATCCCGTGTATTGGAAATGCAGGGTATAAAGTCCAGGAGATAGTTCCTTGGCTGTCTTCAATTCCAGGACATCCCGATTGGGATCCTCGGTAGCTTCCACGAGCTCAAGGGCCTCCGGCAAGTCTTCGTATCCCCGCGGCACGGAACCGGGAAAGAGACGGATGTCCGTGTAATTCAGGTACTTTGAGTGCAAGTGAAACAGCTCGGTCCTCTCGTGCACTTCTACCAGCACGTTTACCTAGAAAGGAAAAACCTCAAGGATGGTACAAAAGATGAGGTGCCCGAGGCTGAAACGGAAGGAAGACAATTCATCGTATCCTCACGTGCCCAGTGAAGGTGAGGGTGGCGAGATGAGGGTGAATGAAGAGGTCGTAGTGCAAGGGAGAGGTGGTGTTGGGCAATCGGAATTCCCCACTCACCAGCATCCCGAGAACCAACACCACCCCGGCCTTCAAGATCTTCTCCATGCCCCTCATCGCAGGAACCTTTTCCTCCTCCTCTTCATCCGCCTTGCTCCCTGAACATTCAATCCATCGATATTACTATCATACTGCATTTACTTTCCCTTCGATCTATTAATAGTTAACTGAGCAGTTTTCATGCATGGAGCCTTTCCCAGCCCTCGGCAATATATCCCTTTTAGACGCATGCTAATCGTCTCGTCATGCAGGGAGGGCCGCTCCCCATTTCCCTTCCTTTGCGAAATGGCAGTTTCCACCGTATTTCTACGAATTCAGACTAGCTCCTATCAACTTGAGCTGCCTTCAATAAACCTGTCTACAATTACATTAAAAAATTAATTATGATAAATCGACAACCTTCTTCCTTATTGGCAATAGTCCGGTCTGTCTTTCTTTCGTGTGCTCTCGATGACCGCCTGCGGAATGAAAGCCCCAATAAAAAAGGAGTCGTAATGTCGTTGCAAGTCTGACGAAATGTCGAATATGTAATTTCGAACATTATTAAGGGGGAAAAGATAATGCCCTATTTTTAAATTGAATGCTTAATATTGAGGAGCATCCACCTCTGCTTCAGTGAGTTGAGAATACGAGCTCCTACATACAACAGAAAATGTTCCTCGATAATCATTCTTCTGCCAGGAAGAAAAGTACATTATTGTCCTACTGAAAATGCTCAGGATTTCATACTTTCCCTTTGTCAGACGTGCGACGATATGTCCAGAGACTAAGAAAAAAATATCCCAGATATTTGTCGGCAAAAGAAGGGAAAGTCACGGGAACGATTCGTACGATGAGCTTTTCAATGATTGCCGCGCGGTTCATCGAGCCATAACTACAAGTACGTACGTGTCAACTTCACAATAATTGTATTTTGGAGGACAAAATAGCAACGAAGCGACGATCTCTTTTCTATGGAAATTGCCCCTCCGGCTCATGAAACCAATCGAGTTCCAGGGCGGGGGGGAGGGAGACGAAGTTGCTTTATTGTTGACAAGCATTAAAGCGATGCAGTTGGCCTGCACATGGAAGATTTGACAGACGTTTCTGCAAGGTATAATATCCTGGCTACATGACTGACCGCTCGCCCTTCCCACTCATTTAGCCGGATGAAGGATCACGATTAGCAGTTGAAAGAAATGGAAAATGTTGGAACAAGACGAAGATGAATGTGGAAGGACTTACCCGAGAGAGGAAGTGAGACCGAAGTGAAAGACACGCGAAGGGAGACTGGAGTTAGACGGAACTCTCACTGGGTCTCGCCCTCTCTCCCTCTCACCGCAGTAGTGATCAAGATCCTCCTCGGCTCCCGCCTCCTCCTCCTCCCCTACCCCCGCCTCCCCCCCCCCCCAGTCCTCCGTCCCTGAAAAGATATATTCTAGATCCATTCTACTTCCTCGGTTAGGGCGGGGCTGGATGCCGGGACACTTTCGAAGAAAACTGCTTCCGGTATCACGGAATGAAAAATCCCCTCAGGCAATAATGTCTCACAAACTGCCGAATGTCGAGAATCCCCTTTGGGCTTCCCTTCACATGCGTCCATTTTCTCTCTCCTTAGCTTCTTTCCCACTTCTCTTTAAGGGAAAGTGACCGCTACTCAGACTTACACGTCCGGGTATTACGCCAAGACCTTGACAAAGAAGTACAACTTCACTTTCTCTCTTCATCTCATCATCCTCATTATCCAAGAACGGGTTTTTTTTTCCAATAGACTCAAAGACATTACGAAAGCAAAACGCGGGAGAATCAGTCCCCCGAGCCTCAGTGGCTTCCACATCCTCGATCACTGCACACCAAGGCGAGGCCGTATACCGGAGGTAGAAATTAGAATTGTTCTTCGAATTCATTAGACCGAGCTATGTTCTGCCCCAAATACTGACGGTGATAGAGAGGGAAGGTCTGACGGTATATCCTGTATAAGCGATGATGTCATAGTGCTTGAGAAGGATTCCCCCTGTAGGGAAGAGCTACTTTCCCTTTCGTTCTCTCTCTCTCGTATCTAACCTCGTGAATTTTTTTCTTTCCTTTCTCTTCCTTGGTAGTCGGTACGTCTTTGTTCCTTCCCCTTTACCCTTCAATGCGGCAATGGTTTTTTTTTTCCATTTCTTTTTTAAGACTGGAGAGGGAGGTGCATCTCAATGACACGAATAGGAAAGGGATCCCTTCCTGCGGAATGTCGTTTCTCGTCCGATTGGAAAGGCTGCAGTGAATGATATCACTCGCTGCAGTACTCTCCGATCGGTGAGGCGACCGTAACGGTGAAATCGAAAGTGAAAAGCGAGAGACGCCAGGAGACAGAATTCGTGTGCTTTCCGAGGTCGTGGTCAAGGCTGTCTTCATGCCCGGCTAGCGCGGCGCCAAGGATTGCTTCATACTCATTTGAGAATTGAGAAACCCCACTTTGCTTGTATTGTACAATCCTAACCATCGGGAAGGGAGGGGGAGGGGTTCGTTCACGGTTCATGGAGTTCATGAGGGTACTCGCAATCCATCCCGAAATTGAATTTCGTGTTCATTCTCTTCCTGGTTAGTCTCAAGCCTCTCCCTCTATTTTCAAAAACCGCTGATTAATTTACCCGCGACAAGTGTGACATTGATTACCACTGATGCGACCTTTACGCGGAACTGGTAATATTTTCACTTTCACCCTAGGAAACCACTTGGCGTTAGTGTGGCGAATCACTGAATATATTTAAAATATGATTATTCTCTCAACTCTACGAGTCGAGCCCATGCAGCCTCAAAATCTAATCCAAGAATTCATCAAGTCTTTCTTCCGAATACGCAAGCGAGCTTCAAATAACCATGAAAGATGCATGTATGCAGCGCTTGAAAAAAAAAAGCATTAAGGGCAGACTTCCTTTCACTTCGGAGACGAATCGCTAAGACAATGCATTGCCTACACAGACCCCCACGAGGTATGAGTCCCCTACGCACCAGGAAGTCCCACCTGGCATATTTGGAGTCTATGTTTGCTACTTGTTGAACTGGGGAAACAACCGAAGAGGTTGCAAGCAGAACACTACAAAGAAAAGTTCCTATGTGCTACTTTCCTCCTATCTGTGATTCCTTGGAGCACCTCGTCCGGATATCTGAATAGACGCGTATGACACCTATTGTCTTCTCCGTGTATCATCCATAAACGGATTCTCTCCTTTGTCGGACTAGAGAGAGATACCTCAGCGAAATGGTTTCATTGAACGACAGGACAGCAGAATCAGTTGCCCGTCTATTCTCATACAAAAGGCATGTAACCTGTTTGATGGAGGAGAGTAACGCGAACTAGGATTCTTTCGACACGCACCGCAGCCTGTGAGGGATTTCATTCGATCGATGATCTCCATGCCATGCTGTCTGCCTATGAGCTTGGTGACGATTCTCCATCTGCTGCGATCACACTTTCGTAACCGTCGATCGCCGGATGGTCTGGACTCTCAAGAATGGGGACATTCGAGGCTCTTTAAACTGCATGGCAGGGCACGCGCGGGACCCGTGGATGGCCTCTCCCACCAAGTTTTTCCATATTCACTTTCACAAAATTGAGCTCTCATTTTCGCATAAAGGCATGGATAATCGGGAAGAAAATGCGTGGGCACTTATGCACCTCGTAATTTTTTTTTGTTTTATCGATCGGTGCTCTTATAAGAAGAGGGTTAGAGAAAATTTTCTCGAACCACTACTTCGTAGGCTGTTCTGTGGGGCAATTTAATATAATATAGGGTATGTAGGATGAGGTAGGATGAGTGATGAAAGGAAATTTTAACGAACATAATTACGTATGTTTTATTTTCTATGCGAAAAATAACATTAGAAGTGAAGAGTAAAAATTTTGGAAAATGTCACCCGAATGGCTTCATTGCCGCCTTCCTCGGTCCAGGAATCTCGGCTTCGTATCCAGCCCCTTCCCTATCGTTGCCATTTCCGTTTCCGAAGTGATAAAAAAAAAGATCGTTTGAAGAGATTTCATGTTGCTATTTTATGAGGCAACTATGTTTGATTTACTCGCACTTGAGAAAAACATTTAATCATGAATTTATTTCATTTCTGAGCCCATCACATCAGCCACTCACGGGTATCATAGGGGACAGAGAATTAATTGTAGAATATTAAAGGTCAGTGGACTGAGAGACGAGAGGAGAGAGGAACGGGAGAACGGGTAATGGTGGAGACGGGAAATGGGGATACGGGGGCACGGACGGGTGAGAGGGATGAGGGGATGGGGGGGACAAAGGAACAGGGGCACGGACGGGTGAGAGGGATGAGGGGATGGGGGGGACAGAGGAACAGGGGCACGGACGGGTGAGAGGGATGAGGGGATGAAAGAGACGGGGGGACGACGATAAGAATATGAATATGGATTTTATTCGCCTTGGGTCGGGTTGTCAAATTAATGAAAAACGCCACTTTCCCTTTGAAAGTGAAAGAAAAACGCCTCGCGGAGAACGTCTTTCAAGAGGAATTATTACCTGAGAGAGTAGATTCATGTTCGAGGGAAAAGGAATTCGTGTGGAGTTTCCGGACCATTTTGTCAATAAAAGGAGCTGGCAGGAACGGCGAGCGAGTGGGTTAAACCATTAGCAAGAAGAGACCGTTAGGAGTCTCATCCAGATGACCTTGGCATGGAAACGAGGAAAGAACACGTTATTTTTTCTGGCAGAGATGTAGCCGATTGAGCAACCTTCGGAAAAGCGCCAGAGAATCCTCGGTGGGGAAAAAAGAAAGAGAAAAAAAAAGCAGCTTACGGTGGCAAAGCGTATTGCATAAGAAGACGGTGACAAAGATCGCAGCAGCGTCGAGAGAACCGGTGACGCTGCGCATTAAATTTATGCCGTGGCGTAATCCGGCCTGGCGTGTTCTAAAGGACAGCTTGGATTTGTTTCCTGAAATTCGAGTCGCCGTCGAGATATACCGTTCTTCCAAATACTTCACCGATTTTGAAGGTCTAATGGTAAGGTTCGCACTTCTCCGGATTTAACGTTGTCCTTGTTCTGACCACTGCTCGAAGCGCGGGATTTTAGATGTGCAGTTTTGGAAGTTGACGTAGCAGCGGATTCGCGCTACTAAGACGGTGTCACCTGCGCATTTCAAGATGGTATTGAGAGGGGGGGGAGAGAGAGGATGGACTAAGAAAGTTCGAGAGGAGAGTGAGGAAAAGGGCGGAGAGAGCCCCACCTTTAAGCACAATTGTCTTGCACGGTAAAATCCTTTCCACGGAAATGCACCGATGAGTATCACTGGAAATATGATTTCCCGCATTCCTCAAAAGCCTGAATGGAATACTGCGTTTAGCCAGGTGGATTTGCGGGTGCTGAAAAGCAGAGCCGTAACCTACCCCCACGCCGGTCCGTCCAAGTCCACATTTCCATTTTTCAGTGAGAGCGTTCGACTTCATCTTGCAAAATCCCCCCCCTCCAGAAGGATAAAGAGCATGCCCAGGCTCCCGAAACGACATTAATGGCTAATGGTCGGCGTCCATTTCGCCCGAGTCCTTTAACGATCTAAAATAGAAATATAAAAATAGGAACGAGGTCTCTGGAAAGTGTTACCAGATCTTCCTTAGGCCCGATTCTGATCGCCACGCTCACTCGACAACGTAAGGCTCACGTGTAGAGACATTCATGCATTCGACGCGGCTCCTCCGTTCCCTTTCGTCTCGTATCAGAAAGCTTCGATGTTCCTCGTTTCGAGGAGTGGGTTGGGGCCATCATCGAGGTTCCTGCGACGATCGACCGCACCGCGATGGAATCCTCGTTCCTCGAACCGGCCTTCGGTGGCTTCGCCGACTGCCAGTCACGTCTGTTGCACGTGGTTCCTCGAGATGACGGAATCGGAGCATATCTTTAGGAAAATCGCGCGAGAAAGGGACGTTCGCTCTGGCTCTCGATGCCATTCCTGTTTTTCTCATCTACGTACCACGAACTATAGAAGGAATTCTACAAGGATCGATCGGGAAGTAAGGTTACGATACTTGCTGCGGCCTGTTGGCTACTTGTAATCTTACTTCCTGATCAGCCCTCGTACTTGTATTATCCTTGCGACTACCTTAAGTAGGGTTAAAGGGGGCAAATTCCTACCCTGACGTGGAGTCCGTCCTCTACGAGACATAGTTGAATGTAACAAAAAATCCAATCTGCCCTTTTTAAGAAGATTACACCAGAGTCCGGTTTCAAAATGCGAATGGAAAGTGCATGAAAAAATATTTCCTTTTGAAAAAAATTTCATCGGATAACTTATTATCATAGCTGCTCAAACCGCCCACTAATAGGGTTTGAGCTATTTCGATATCGTAAA